TCTCTCTCTCTCTCTCTCTCTCTCTATTAGCAGTTGCCTACGTCTTCATGTGCGTATCAGGAAAAGGTGGCTAGCCCATCCTGTTTTGCTCGCTTTGTTGCTCATGGATGTAGGCGGTATAGAAACATCCAACTCCTAGGCATGGGTGCAGCCGTGGAACGATTGAGAGCTCACTCCAAGTTCTACTGACGCCCTTGTTGGGAGTAAATACAAAGCTACTGGCCCTCGACCTTAAAAGCTGCGGCTCAACTCCATAATCCCAGGAATGCAGAGCTGGGTGGTAAGAAACAAAGAGCAGCGGTAGGGCATGCACCATCAGATGAGAGCCATACCCTCGCCGCCTTCATCATCTATCTATCTATCCCTCGCACTTCAGAGCCCAAAGCCCCACCATGTGCCCAGCCGGCCACCTTCACGTGCCTGCACGCGTCTCCCCGGTGCCCTGCCCCATATTTTAACACCACCCCCCCTACCCCCGCCAAAATGAAGCAACCTAGGAATTCCATCCCCGGCACCCCAACTCAGTCGACGGGATGATGATTGTGTTGTTAATAGTGTCTATCGTCACCTTGTTTTTCTCTGCTGTCATTACCGAGTTGTGTGTGTATGAGACCGGCACACATGAGATTCCCTGCTGCCTGGCATTCTGCTCTCCCTCAAGCCCACATGGTGGGCTTCTCGGGAGACGGGCAGATCGGTCCGGTGGTACTCTTGACCGGTTGGATGCATTGCGTTAAGCCTCGCATGAAGCTGGCACTTGCCATCGGTTCCCTGTCATGTTGGCGTTCCTGGAGCAGGAGTGGGCTGTCCGCAGGTGTATCGGTTCCCCAACTCCAGCATAACCCGGAGCGAAGGATGTATCAGGCTGGCGATGAGGATTACAGAGCTAGTCCTTCGTTGAACCCTTGGTTTGTTAGGTGGGGAAGCTGTCAGTGGAACCAGTAGAAGGTGATCAAACGCAAGAAGACAAGACAGTGGAGATCTGAGCAGCCTTTTAATGAACGAGTTGGGAATCATGTGCATGGCGGTTCTCCGGGGATCAATCCTTGTGCACGACCATTAGTACCTTCAACCTCTGCATTATTAACTCTGCTTTTGCTTCTCTTCAGCTTAATTTTCTGCATTTCATCCATCGCATGTGACTGTGGCAGCACCAGATCATTACAGCCAATTCCATTATAGGAGAAAGACGAGACGGATCATGGAGACACCCCCGCTCCCCACAGTCATTCTTTGCAACTCATCTCCTTCAGCCTCCTTCCCTTTAAGCGCAAGTAAGCAGTAATCAATTGCAGTGTCACAGAAGACAGTCAAGTTTACCTTGATGGATGAATCTACCTTGTTATCTTCATCAGATTTTTAGATGGGAGTTCAGTTTGACCTTGAGGTGAAGGCAATGTAACAGTGGCAGCTGATGTTCTGCTTGTGATCACATCACAGGCAGACGGTGACCTCATTAATATGTGCATTGTGCAGGTGGGAGCAGGCTACTTTTCCTGCACTTTGTGAGTCAAAAGTTGAGCTCCAAAATAAATGTTAGGTTGTCACCTAACATTGATGCAGGAGGCCATTGCCCTGATCACATGGAGTCCATGGCCACCTCAATCATACACCAAGGGAGTTTCTTCAACATTCCCTGCATCAACTCTCATCACTCCCTGCCCAAGTTTTACCCAGAGGAACTCGTTTTACTGATCGTTCAACTGCTCAGATCTTGATAAGCTCTATGCACTGTTAATATATGATGCAACTACTGTACCTCGCGAAGCCTTCTCTGTCGGAGACTTAGGTGATGGTTTGATCAGCCTAGTGAAATGTAAATTAACCTTGAACCATCACATCGCCTGTCTCATGTGGTGGAGCCAACTTCAATGCACCTTCCAAGAAGGATGTCATTCCCTTCCTCACCTGACATGAAGTAGTATATCGATTTAAGCAATGTAATTTAGCTTGATTGCAGGCACAATCATAATGCTTTTGATGGAAGGAAGTGCATTGTTTTTCCCCATCATTCACCAGCACCATGGAATCTCTGAAGCCTTCATCTTCGGTTCTCAATACACAAGACTTGTTTATGGAGATAAAGAGGAACAAGATGGTCGCTTAGAACGCAGCAGAAGAGACTAAAAGAATATTCCTGGTTTTGGATCTCTAGAGAGCATTAATCTTAACACAAAACCAAAACTAATCACTGTCGATGCAAGTCTTTGAGAAGCTTAATGTTGAGGTCAATACCTTTGTTTCCAGACCAAAACCATTGGCAAAAGTTCAATGATTGTTCTTTCTCTTCCTTCTTTTGAGAGGGTTCTTGTATGAGGCTGAAGGTTCTACGGAGGCCAGTCACTGAAGCTACCGGCTTTCTTGCCTCTCATTCCATTGGTACGAATAATAATAATGGACTGGCAAGAGCTAAGTCGATCACGATAAAATCCTCATTCCTTGTCTGTCTCCTAATTCAATTAGGAAAAGCTAGAAGAAACTGAGTTCTTTTGGCTCCATCTTTCTCGATGATAGCCTATATTTTAGACAGGGTTACAACAAATCCCTCGATCCAAAGACACAAGTCAAAGCTTTTTTTCTTGGGGTGTTCATCAAGCAAAAATTACAAGTCAAAGCTTCGATCAACTCAATATATAATTGCCTAAACCTCGCACCTTCGAACAAACATCAAGACCGAGTTCAAATTACCGGAGATCGACTATAGCTGATATCAACTCAGAAATCCCCTTCTTTGACTGACAACCTGCAGCACAATCTGCCATATCGTTCGTCAGGGGCTGTGGCAAACGTTTACCACCAACACAAACATCAGGGACTGCTCTTGTTTCCTCGACTTCCAATCTCACTCCTTGCTTCCGCTGATTGCTTTGTTGCTTGAGGAGGGAGGGTGACGATGCATGCGTGCATCCTGCAGTCTGTGGGCGCAACTGTGTGCTTGCGCATGCTCACATTGTTGCATGAAGTCGAATCTAGTGGGACAAATACATATGGCCACCATGCGAAGCAGCAGAGGGTGCTTTTGATGAGAGGCCTGATATAGAAACCCTGGGGATTCCTCCTTATCGAACACATCTGCCAACACTGAGGAAGGGGATGAATCATTTCCCCTGCTACTGCCTTTAACAAAGAACAGGGGCTGCTGCAATTAATCTAAGCTACCGATGCCATGATGAACTGCACCATATTCACACCACTCACAGGCAACAAAGAGTTGATTCTCCCACTAGGAAATAATTAAGCATTTGTCATCTTTCTGATGCACCAAAACAATCAATCCATGCTGTGTACTCTCCACTATTCATACGACTTTATGCCAGTAGATGACTACATGGATGACCAAATCTTCAAAGAAACCTAGCATGGTCCATGCTCTACACTCGTCAAAATCCACAGCCATTCAGCATGACAGATCTCACAGACTAAGGTTGACAGCTCAATGATTTTGAAGTGCAGCTACTTGCATTTATTGATCAAGCTGGGCTTTCTGGACATCATGGTGTAAACACTAGAGGGAAATTTTTACTTTTTTTTTTTTTCCATCAGTTTCTTGAATCCATCAACACATATGAGACAGTTCTTCATTCTGTTCCAGCTTGTTTTAGGAGTTCCTTATCTAACTAGAGAAGACTTTAAATTGTTCGGCCTTTGACCATTTTAGTGTTTCCAGAAGGAAACTATGTTCTTCTAAATCTGATTTTTTAATATATTTCAGGATTAATAAGTATATTTTAGAATAAAAATTGCGTTTTGTTCACCAACTATTACTGGCTTTTCACCTTCAAATGTATCCTCTCTTCATAATTGGAAGGGGCATCTTATTTTGATAAGAGCTGAGAAGATAAAATTAGAGAAGAAAAGATTAAAAAGGACTGGAATTATTGATGATTCCGATTAGAGTTTTAACTCATAGCATTTATTTAAGATTTGTTGATAGAATAAATATTTTGATTATTATTTTTACAAAGGGATAATATTTTGTTATATATATATATGCATATATTAAATATTTAATTGGTCGCAAGCGGTGGGTCCGGCAGACAGAAGCGGGCCCGCCGTTGCGGTCGAGAGAGAGCGAGAGAGAGGGGGGGGGGGAGGGAATATTCCGTTGGATTCGCCGGGAATCACCGTCACATGGCGCCGTGAGATGGATGAGCTGGAGGCGGACGGAGACCCCGCTCAGGCTTCCCCAGCTGTCACGGCACACAGCACATGGCCAGCTGCTCGCCCTGTCTCTTGGCCGACCACTTTTACCAAAACACCCTCGCCGTATCCCGTCATTAGATCCCGCCACGCGTCTCCGCGTAAGGGTACTGACGTCAATTTACGTGGTGCCCGAAATCTTTCCTTGGCTTCCGGCTTGCGTGGCCAGAAATCTCCAAAGTACGGAATATTCTCGCCTTCAATTGCCGTATGGAAAGCTGCGAAAAATAAGTAATGGCGCTTCTTATGTGACGAAAAAGTGCAAAAACTCGAATTAAAATGAGGAAATTAAGTCCAGCACAGCGTGCGTCACTTGTTTGTGAGAATGCCCCTGAGGGATCTCCATTATATCTATATTATATATATGAACTCCTCCGGCGTAGACGAAGCACAGAGAGAGAGAGAGAGAGAGAAAGAAGGCAACTTCTGGGTTTTGGAGAGTTGTTTCCTCCACTTCCTCTTCTCTTCTCTTCTCTTCTTCTCCGCTCGCCTTATCCTCCATCTGTTATGTTTTTGGCCTGTGTCGTTGTTTGAATGCTGCAATGCGCTCCTCTGATACGAAGCAGTGTGGGTGTTCGTTGCATGGCCTGTAACTGTGCATTGGTGGCTACGACTGGGCTGCAGGCGGAGGGGGAGTAGGAGGTGGAGGTGGAGGTGACGGGATCTGAATAAAAGAGCGGAAGGAAGGAAGCGGTGTCGGTCGCGGCCTGGCCCAGATGTCCCGCCCCGGCGAGCCCAGCGGACGGGCCGGGAGGCGGACCGAGCTCGACCCGGTGGTTTACCGGTTCGGCTCCGCGTTGGCTCTCCGCGAGGGGCCGGGCAAGGACAAGGTTGACGACAACGGCGGCCCCCTCGGCTCCCCGGTTTCCCCCCTCCGGCCACGCGTTTCTGCGGCCGCCAACACCAGCAGCAGCTCCAGCTCCTCCGGCTCCGCGCCTGGCAAGCCCCCGGCCCCGGCGTCCTGCGATACCAGCCCCACCGCTGCCGCAGACCGCAGCAGGGGCTCCAAGCCCGGGCACCGTCGCTCGAGCTCTGGCCCGCTGATCTTCTCTGACCGCAACGGTGGCAGCGGCGGCGGTAGTAGCTCGGCGAGTTCTCCGCTGACCAATGTGCTTCCCGCGGGCAATATCTGCCCCTCGGGGAAGATCACCGGCATGGTGCCAAGGACCACGGCCAGGAGCGACGTGCTCGGCTCCGGCACCGGGAACTACGGCCACGGCAGTATCGTGCGCGGCGGGACGAGCGGTGGCGTCCCGAGAATCGATGCGGGGACTGGGAGCTTGGTGGATCCGAGTGCGAGGAGACCGACGGCTAGCGCGGACCCGCAGTTGGTGACGAAGGCGGGGAACGAGCAATACAAGAGGGGGAACTACGTCGAGGCTTTGAGGTTCTACGATAAGGCGGTGGCGATGTTCCCAGGCAATGCTGCGTGCCGGAGCAACCGTGCGGCTGCGCTGATGGGGCTGGGTAGGCTGGGAGAGGCCGTGAGGGAGTGCGAGGAGGCGGCCCGGCTGGATCCGGCGAATGGGCGGGTGCACCACCGGCTGGCGTGTCTTTACCTACGGTGAGATTCCATGTCGTAAATCTCGTAATCTTCTCCAGCAAATTAAATATGAAGATATATTTGGTATCCGATTTCTTTTCTTTTCGAGCATCGTGTGTGATTTTAGGCCTAATTGCATCATCATGTTTGTCATCCTGTGATTGTTAATGTTGTTTTGCCCCAAAGCTTTGATCTTTGTAGGAATTGCATCTGATTATAACATCATGTTGGTGGTCCTGTGATTGTTAATGTTAGTTTGCCTCGAAGCTTTAATCTTTGTGGAACTGTGATTGTTAATGTTAGTTTGCCTCAAAGCTTTGATCTTTGTGGGAATTGCATCTGGTAATATCATCATGTTGGCCATCCTGTGATTGTTAATGTTAGTTTGCCTCAAAGCTTCAATCTTTGTGGGAATTGTGTCTTCTTTCATCAACCTGCATCATGTTTTCCGCTTACTGTTGTCCTGCTATTGACTGCTTGAATCGATAAACTTGTTTTTTATGTTTCTATTATTGATGTTTTTGATGTTCGCTATGGTTTGCTTGTACCAAATGTTCGATTCATCTGGCAATAGATCGCCTTTGTCGGATTGTTACGTGTTGATCCTAACTCGATGGTGAATAACCTTTTGTTGTCTCATGTGAGGTGGAAATTTTGTCTGTCTTTCTACTATTGGCTTGCTGTTTGGCACTGTCTGTCATCTGTGTTCTCTTTGTTTTGCTCCATCCTGCCCTTTGGCTGTTATAGATTAGTGGATTCTTCTCTACCTGCCTTGCTCTCATGTGCACCCAATGTTAATTGTCATTTTGGGTGATGGACTTCAGTTTGCATTATTTCTTGCAGAAAATACCATATGATATTCATTAAAAAAAAATCCTGTTGTTACATTATATGTTGTCTCTATATACAAAACAGTGAAAATTTCTGAAATATGCAAATTTGTTTTCCACATGTAGTTTCTCTGACAGTCTTCATTGATTAAAGAATACCTCGAAGCCTCTTCTCTTGCACAATAGATAAACGAGTATCTGGTCCTGCTTAATAGTCACTTTCTGCTATCTGTCTCGTATCTGTTCTTATTCTTTGTCCGGTAACAGTTGATTATAGCTGTCATGGGCCACCTCATCGTCATGTTGCAGGTTAGGGCAGATTGAGAATGCAAGGCTGCACATTTTCTCAACAGGGAATCAGCCTGACCCTGTCGAATTGCAGAAGCTGCAAACAGTGGAGAGGCATTTAGGGAAATGCGGAGAGGCAAGGAAGATAGGTGATTGGAAAAGTGCATTAAGGGAAGCTGATGCTGCCATCGTAGCAGGAGCAGATTCTTCTCCCCTGGTAAAACACTAAAATTTTTCATTTTGTTATCTAATAGTTATCGTTTCCATTTTGTTGTAAAAAAGTTTTCGAGTATAGCAGTCATAGGTAGTTGGACTTTGCAGCTAATTGCAATGAAATCAGAAGCCCTTCTCCGGCTCCATCAAATTGATGAGGCTGACTCGGCTCTAACAAGCTCACCTAAATTTGAGATGTTATGTGCACCCTACTTGAATACCAAGTTTTTTGGTATGCATCCAGAGGCCTATGTGTACATTGTCCGTGCACAAGTTGACGTGGCACTGGGAAGGTGAGCTTAAACTTTAAAGTTCAAACATAGAAAGAAAATCCTGGGTGATGAGAGAAAAAGACAAAAAATTTGCAGGTTTGAAAATGCAGTTGAAGTAGCTGAAAAGGCTAAGTGGATGGATTCTAGAAGCATAGAGGTGGCAATGATACTGAACAATGTGAAATCAGTTGTAAAAGCTCGAATTCAAGGGAATGAGCTCTTCAAATCAGGACATTTTGCAGAAGCAATCACTGCTTATGGCGAAGGGCTCAAGTATGATCCTTCAAATCCAGTCCTCCTATGCAACAGAGCAGCTTGCCGGTCAAAGCTTGGACAATGGGAGAAGTCTCTCGAAGATTGCAACCAAGCCCTCAGAATCCAACCCAGTTATATCAAGGCTCTTCTCAGACGTGCTGACTCCAATGCCAAGGTGAAGTTTATTTTACCATCCAGCCTCTTCAATCTACAAGTCATGCTAAATTGTTATTTGCAAAGAGAATGTTGCTAATCCATTTTTTTTTTCACTTGATAATCAGCTCGAGCGATGGGCTGAATCAGTACAAGATTATGAAGTCCTCAGCAAGGAGCTTCCACATGACCCCGAGGTGGCTGAAGCCCTGTTCCATGCTCAAGTTGCACTAAAGATGTCTCGGGGTGAAGAAATCTCTAATATGAAGTTTGGTGGTGAGGTCGAGGAGGTTACAAGTTTGGAACAGTTCCAAGCAGCAATATGCTTACCGAGTGAGATTTCTTTTTTGTATCCTTTGTAGTCAGATTCACCAATCATATCTTTAATTTCTGTTTGATTTCATCTCTAAGTACTTGGGCTTCTTTGTTTACCTGGTTGTACCATCTAAACCTGCTATTGTTCCCAGCGATTTGTTGTTTAAGCAACCGACTTCCTTTTGCATATTTTGATTATATTATAACGCTTGCGACGCGTTTACCTGATTCCATCCATGATTGCTTGTGACTATTATTACATTACGTTAACTTATTAATGTCTTTGAGAAAATTAATAGGAATGGATAATAAGCTTTTTGTCATTTTCAGGAGCTTCTGTCATCTGCTTCATGGCAGTATCCAATCAGAAATGTTCCCAGATCACACCATTTGTCAATTCACTGTGCATACGATACCCATCTGCAAATTTTCTCAAGGTATCATCGTCATCGCTGCAATGCAATGTTTCTCTTCTGCATGTTCATTTTCATCTTTATTTGATATTTCTCACCCATGAACCAAAGGTTGATGTCGACAAGAGCCCCACCGTCGCGAAGGCAGAGAACGTGAGGGTACTCCCCACATTCAAGATCTACAAAAGTGGGACAAGGATGAAGGAGATGATTTGTCCCAGTCAACAGGTGTTGGAGTATTCTGTGAGGCACTACAGTCTCTGAGGAGTTGAGACACTGGTTCGATTCCATTATTGCACTGCCACCTTATCTACATCCATTAATATAAATGTCAGATCCCACTATGTGGTAACTCATTGAGTCAAAACATGAACTGGAGTGGTGGAGAAGAGATTTCCTCCATTTTCTGAGTCATTCAAATCTAGAGTAAGAGATCATGTCCCATGTCCTGCCCAGAGGATGCTCCTGAATTCCATATGTACCAACTACATAATTCATTTAGTTCTGCAGCCACAGGCAGATTTTTTTTTGGTGTATATACATCATGTACATGAACACTGGAATCCATTGGGGTGATCTTGTATATGATGCTGGTCGAACCGGGCGGTAAGAGAAGTGAGAGAGAGAGAGAGATAGAGAGAGAGAGGGAGTTTGGGTATATCAATTTATTGTTACTATCACCAATGTTTAATTTTGCTACTGCCACTGTTGCTGGTGGTGGTTTATATATATAATGTGCTTCCATTTCTGCAGAATAAATGAACCCGAAATATTCTTTTACTTGAATTGTGGCTCTTCTCCTGGTTTGTTCTTGGAAGAAGAATTCTGGTTTCTTCCTTTTGTCATCCTCAAGTATATGTGGTGGAGGGTTACAGTCTACCGAAATTTGAATGGTTGGAAGAAGGGGGAAATGAGTACGCACAGCCATTGTCCACTTGCTCGTCGTCTCTCTGCTCTGTGGACTGACTGTTCTGCACTGATCTAATTTGCGTGACAGCAGGAAAAGTGAAAACTGTACATTTTGGACAAGAAATTATGACGATGAAATGAATCAGAAGTCATTTTCGAAGAAGACTCTTAAGAATTTTCTTCTCCTTCTCAAGAACTAAATGCCTCTGATGGCCAAGAATGACAGATGAAGAGAAGAGAGAGAGAGAGAGCATTCATGAATCTGTAGCGTGTGATCAGTGATCCAACCCGTGACGTTTTGCATCCCCACAACCTCCAAATTAAGGATCGATTCCCTCATGTTCATGCTTTCGCTTTAATGAAACGACAAGCGCTCCAACTCTCATGCAAGCATGCATTCATGTCTTCATCGAGAAAACACAGCTGGGTGGATTAGAGTCAACGCCGAACCCGTGAGATCTCAGGCATTGCTTCCTTGGCACACAGTAATGGCCTGTTGGGTTGACCTCCAGACCTTGCTGCCCTGTCTGCTTCTTCCCTTCTCGACTGTTGCTGCCATTTCTGTACTCTCTTCTTCACGGTTGAAGCATTCAATCTAACTAGGTAGTCGAAAGAAAAAGAATTGGGCTACAAATTAGCATTATATCGATAAGAGTTGTAGAGAGCGAAAGTCTAAAATTTACTGGTTCCTGGATTGTCATTTGATTTAGTGTGATCAAAGCTTGAAGTTGTCTATGGATAATGTAAATTCTGGCCAATTTAATTACAACCGTCTTGTTGGGTGCATCTATTATTGGGCAGACAACCTATTCAGTGTCCAAAGAAAAAAAAGAGAACAAGACAGAAAAGAAAGAGAAAGAAAGAAAGGGAAGAGACAATGACAACACAGAAACTGTTCTAGATTTTTACTGTGATTACTTAGGAGAATTAGGGAAGATTTAGATATTGTGCACAGTGACGTGATCCTTGTATCCCAGTTATTCTCTTATGATTGTTGTTAGGATTTTGGGCAAAAGATTGAGATTTGTATATTCATTATTATTATAGTAGATTATCTCTGGTTTGCCCGTTTTTACCCTTCACATTGAAGGAGTTTTCTACGTATATCGTGGTATTCTATTTGATTATGGTTCCATTTAATTCTGCTATGTGTTATGATCTGCTAGTATTTGTTCATATACAAAAAGTTATTTTTTTTTATATCTCATCATAGCTTATCATAGGGAATAGAATGAATTTTCTTATAGATTATTTGTGTAAAAATCTAAATTAACTAAGTGAAGAACATTAAAATAAAGCTGAGCTGACCTTTCTAGGGTTCAAAACATCACCAACACAGGAAGCAGCTTCCAAGTCCATGCATGGGACTTAAATGGAGCCTTGAGCTTTCTATGGTCAACACACTTGAACATGTTGAATCATAGGATAATGGGTAACGGAATTCATGAATACTTGAATGGCTCATACTTCAAATCTCGATTGAGCTTTGGCTTTTGCTTTTGCTGGAAGGAAGTCAATAAGAAGAAACTTTTCTTTGGGAGTGTTGGACGATGACATCGGCGATGATGGAGAAATATTTCTTTGCAAGTGTTGGACGATGACGCCGTTGACGATGGGATCATCTAACTCGGTTTGAATTGGCCCATGCAAGTTTAAGTGTTTTGGCTTGGTCTAGAAGGTATCGAGTGTTCAATATGATGTCGACCCATACAAAGATGGAGGTCAAATTGATTTTTCGATATAGGATGAATGTTTTGAGTAAAGACCTTGATTATTGTGGTTTTATAGACGTATGATGATTGATCCCATTAGAAAGAATATTTCAGGGATAAAACATTCTAGAAGTATTATATATTAGACTCATATTTGTGTGATTATATAGTAGAGCATCATATTTCTCATACATGATATTATGTCATTGTAAATATTTTTGGGTTTTAGTGACGACCGTGGGTTCAGTAAACTCAGATGGAGAACTTGTGATAGTAATGATTTGATATTACTTAAAAGATATTACTTATAGATGTCCAAGCTTAGTAGTATTACTGAGTTATGTTAAAGATTTAAGAATTGGTGAAGGGTTAATGATGCGTAGCTGATCAGATTAACGTATTTTGATGTCTCTTAGTTGAAGAAAAGCCAAAGACATCATTTGTGATGCCAAGAGTATTATTTCATTGGACGTTACAGAGTTAATTGATGGAGAGACATATGAAGAAGTTGTAGATGTGGTGAAGTGCTACTAAAGTGGAGTAATAAGGAAGTAAGAATTAGTTATTGATGAGGTGAGAGGTGTGCTTGAGGGGATTTAAGATGTACTCATATAAACCAGTAATGGATGATTGTTGTAGTGACTTATCTTATTGAAAGAGCAATATTTTTTAAGGGAAAGATAGATTTAACAAAAATAACATGATATGATAGAAAGACCCTTTGAGTTTAAGGATCATAGCACCAAAAATTATTATCTTTAAAGGAGTACTTAATGAAGATGCAAGGTTCGGATTTTAGTATTAATTTCTATAAAACTTAGGAGCGTAGCTAGGGATAACATAAACAATTAAATGTTTAGAGTTTATGAAAGTTTAAAATTTTATGAAATAGATTTTCAAATAGTGATTGATGTTATAGGATTAAGGTGAGCATACAGTTAATGATAGTAGACTACAGTTTGAAAGACTGTTGACCAAAAAGTTAGTGGTATAGAGTCTTGGTGTAGGAGGATAAAATCAGTCTTAACTATATGTCAGTACTTTCGATCAGTAAAGTCAACTAATTAAGGTGTGTGTGGTGGTGACTTGAGATATTGTATAACCCATGATAAAAGATAAATTATTAAAGCTTGATATTCACCTCCTCCATCAAATTAAACGATTTAAATGATAGATCGAAAGAAATTCTCAACTAACTTTCTAAAATAAGTAAGATAGTAGTGACCTTAGTTTATATTTGAGAGGATAGAGTCATCTATATTTAGTGAAATAATATACGAAAATAATATAAAATCTAAAATTATCAAAGGAACCGATTACCTATATATCAATATAAATGATTTCAAGTGGTTTAGACTACAATAATGACAAATATTTCAAAAGGTAATATATGACTTTTATTATTAAAATAAGTATCACTATGAGTTATAATTTTACTTGATTTGAGTGTTCGAAGATAATAATAAGAAATTAGTTATTATTGAACGGAGGGGGACGGGTGACCAAGACGACAATGCCACGCATCGATTGGAATAGTAATTGAATAAAAAACGATTGGTTGAGTGATTTGTTCTGATGACTGCTAATGCATCTTCATTTTTGCTAATAAGATATAAAGCAACAATAAGATAGACAAGAAATAGGAATAGTATTGACAAGAAATAAGAATAACAGTCGCTAATAGGATAGGGGAAGAGAGGGCAAGGAAAAGGAGCCATGCTTAAAAAAAAAAAAAAAGCTATGGTATTATGAAAATTTTATTATAAAAGAGATGAACTCATCGATTAAATAATATATATTTATATTTTTCTATGATCAAATCATACATTTAAATATATAACTAATCCTCAAATTATAAATTAATTGAGAATTAAAATATATAAATATAACATTATTATTCTATATTTACTTATATATAGTGTCGTATCTCAGCAAAACAGAATTATTGAGAGGCATATGTTTTATCCTCTCCCACTGCTAGTCTGCTCTAATGGAAATAGCCGAAAGGATAGTAACATTCACGAGATGAAGCTTCATCATGCAGCTTTGGTGATGGTGGGTCGACAGCATACAACCTTTCGAGCTCTTGCACCACCATATCCGGCTGCGGGAGCGCGACACGGCCAGGCGGGTCTTCCGCAGGTCTTCCGGGGACGACGATGGGCGTCTCCGGCACCATGGCCTCGAGGATGGAGTCCTTCCCGGTGAGGGTTTGGACGACGTACTTGAAGTGCTTGGCGTCCGTCCGCACGTACCGCGTCTCCACGACCACCACCTTGACGTCGCCTCCGGCTTGTCTGCTTCCGCTCGACATGAGGCGACAGTGCTGGTCCATCTCGTCTTCTTGCATCGAGATCGAAAGGAGCTTTTCTTGCTTATATATGGGGGATCCGAATGGGTGTGGGAATCCAAAGTATCACGAGGAAGAAGAAAGGAAGGGACGAAGAAAAGGGTTGGTGGTCAATCTCGTGCGCCATGAAATCGATGGAGGCTGACTTTGAGCCTGGCGAAGATCGTCCGCGCAGGGCCGCTAGTCGTCGTCGCTGATGCTCTTATTATTTTATAATAATATAATAATTAGTATATAATAAATTATTATTACATCCCAGATTTATAAAATATAAAAAAATTATTATTTTATTATTCATAATTTACAGAATACACTTTTCTTCTTAAATTCAAATTATTATCTTTACATCAGTAAATATTTTATTGATTAAAAAAATCACACCTTTCAATATATGATCACAGGTCTCTTTTGTTTCAGATATATTATAAAGTAATAGATTACTTTGAAATAAATAAAAAATAAAAATATATTAACAATCATGATAGAAACATTTGAAAAAATAATCTTCAATATCCGTGAAACATATATAAATATCAATAATTTAATATAAAATAATAATATATAGATTCATCATAATATATCAGAAAAATAATAATAATTTCTTACGTACTAAATAAAATAATACATCGATCACATACAACACATACATAATAATTAGATAACAAAGACATACATCATACCGGATACGATGATGTACTTTCCTAACAACGAATGGAGAGGCTACTTCATGGAATGGATTCCTCCCAATAGCATATGAAGATAACCTATATTGCACTTTCAACAATAAATGGAATGGTATCTCTCGCATGCCCAAGTGGAGACAAGTTCCTTTAAACAACCCATTAATCTCTAAAAAGAATTGTCATGCATACCCTTCGTAGAGATATATAAGCACTCATGATCATTTATTTACGTTCAACCATTTATTCTTGTATGCATCTAAGAAATCGATATACTCGAATATTATTAAGAGCTCCAAGATGATATCTCCACAAACAGTATGCAATAAATTAATTTTATTTTCAATTTTACTTTCATATATAAAGATAAATATAATATTAGAATATATTTTTTTATTTTTTTAAAAAAATAATTAATAATTTAATTGATTAATAGAATTCCTAATTTGTTCATATGATTAAGAAAATTAATTTTAATAATTCTCTTTAACTATACCGTATAAACATAAAATTAAATAACCATGCAATGCATTATTTATAGTAATTAATAAAATTATTTATAAAATTGTTGATGATTACAGCGTTGATCGCCACCTTAAATCGGTGTTTATGCAAGTATTCATTCAGCGCTCCATCGAGGGCCCTCCGCATACTGCAGGCTGAGCAGAACTCGAAAGAGCTTGACCCGGTCACCATTCCATCTCCATCACGAGGACTTTTCTCCCGGCAACATTTGCTTTCGCTTCTTCAATCCCAGCCACGAGGAAGCCGCCAGTAGTACCTCATCTGTGTTCAGAAACCAATTCAACAGGGATCCCAGCCACAAGGAAGCCGGCAGTCAAACTTGTCGCGTCCATACACAGCTGCTAGCCGCCTTTGATTGCTCAAAAGCCGCGCGTGCTTCCAATACACACACAGGTCAGCAAATTTCTACCATAAGAGCTCAAAGTCAACGTAGATCAGGTCCCGGAATTCATTACTGGATTTGTCCTAAGTCAACGTAGATCAGGTCCTGGAATTTATTGTCGGACCAAATCCAAGCACATCTTTTTTTACTATGTAAAAGCGGAAGAAGAAACTTCCATTTACAAAATAAATCTTTTAATCACCATGTTAAGTCTTCACGTATTTTGCAGCCTCTGTCACAGGTCTACAAGCAACAAAAAATTAGATGGTCAATGGAAACCATGTCGCTAGTCAACCTCTTATGAAGAGAGTCGTAATTAAGCACAGGCATAATTAGAACCAACCATTAAGCAGGGGCCCGGCCCACACACTTGTCGGGTTCGGACTTTGGCTTGCAGATGAAGCACCGAACCCATTCTCAGAAAGATCTCGTGGCCGAAGAAGCCACTGGAGCAGCTCCATCTACAACACAAGCTTGTGGCACTGAAGCCCACATGACGATGTCGGGAGTTCCCAGATTCTGTGGGCCATACGGATCCAAATTTGCAGTATATATCTGATCCACACCCATTATGACAGAGAGAGATCCATGTGACCATATGAAGCCAAACGAGAGCGAGATGACAAGGGCGGTCATGGACCCACCCAACCCACCATCCGACCCATGGACGGTCGAGATGATTCCTCTCCACCAAAGACAGCCGAAGCTCCTCGACGTAGGCCACCGTATTGGGGAGCACTCGTTCCCACCCATGTAGCTTGTGGCATCACATGCAGCGGCTTAACGGTGAGCGCACCATGCCGGCCCCGCTTAACGGTGGGTCTTGGTGCCAACCTTGTCTTCGCAGAAGCTTTTACTGCCGAGTGTTTGATGCTATGTCTGATACGTATGGTCCAAGTCATGGCTACGAAGAGGAGGAAGACAAGGAAGGCGATGGCGGCGGTTGCGATGGCCGGTTCAAAGCGGGAGTTCAGGAGTTCTTTGAGGGAGGCTTGCCCTGGGTTCTACGCAAAAGCGGGAGAGCTAATTAGCCGATAAGGTTAGATCCACCTCGAGGAGGAGCTTTCGGTTCTGTTTGACGTCAAAGTAGGAGCAATCAAGGGTAGACAACCCACATGAGCCCATCTCCGTGGACCACCTCACTGTCATCACCTTCGACCTGCTGCTGCTGCTGCGGATCATTAGGCCTCCGAGAGAGGTAACCCAGACTCGGACATGAGAAAACAACCTCAAGCTGCAGGATACAGGATGAGGAACAGATGCAGCAAAAGTGATAGACAAGGACCTGGATCGTTTGGGTAGACGCTCTTCTTCCTTCCAGGAGATGGGAGTTGCAGGCATGGTACATGAGATCTACCAGTAAATGTAGTCTTCGTTGAAGTACAAGCTCCCCATACATCCACTATCATGTGCTCCGGAACGAATAGTAAAGTTTGACTGGAAACTTGAACTCCACATACAGTCAAACGTTTGGCAAGTTTGAAGAGAATCGATTCATGTTCCTCGAACGATCTGGAGAAACCAAGGCTCGCAGGACGTCAAAGAGAGATGGTGCTGATTCAAGGCTTGCATGGCCCGCAGAGCATATACCAAATTTGACGATAGCCTCTGCATGTGGTCATGCAATAAGACACCAAAACCACCTGGCTTTCTGCGACGAAGGTAATTAATACCTGACAAGATTTACAGATAAATTTGTCATGTGTGCTATCTCATGAAAACAACACGTGAATGACATTTAAGGGCGAATGAATTCCTGAGATTCCCGGGGAAGACTTGAATCCAAAGGCTCCATTTCCTAGTTCTCGATGTGCACGGTTGCCGAAACAATGTGTAACAGTGGCAGCAGTTGTGTCCCACGTTAGATTGCATGTGCATGTCACTGTCAACCAGCAACCGGCGATCTGCATTGTTTTCCTCACTTATTTTGTTTGTGTTCCGTCCAGTAGAGCAGGAATTAATACGTGTAACCCCACGCCCCTGCCGATGTCCGTCATCGTCGCTGCGGCTGAGAACGAAGGAAGCTTAAGACGTTTGAAGCGAGCTCTCATGCGCTCATGCTGTTCGCTTCACTGTTTGAAGCCCGCAACCGTAATGGAAGACAGCACGAAGAATAAGACGTTTGACATTCTTAATTTCTTTTCCTGCTGCAGTCTGGACGGCTCAGCCAACGATCGGCGTGAGCTCGGGAGTCAATCCACAAGGCGTGGAGCATCTCGTGACGGAACGTTGATGTCGCCGCCGACGGGCCCCGCCGAGGGATTGTGCGGTGGGCGTGTCTCCGTCGGGGGAGATTTGGAGCCATGTGTCCACGGACGCCTACTTCCTACGTGCCGCGTGGGTGTCGTCAGCAGTGCCGTGGCAAAAGCGGGGTCCACGAGGTAACGACGTGTTGGTTGTCTCGTCGCCGTAAGTAATCATTTCTCGCCGTTGGATGGAGCATCAAGGATGTCTCCATCGATGAGATGGACGGTGCGTTACGGAAACTCCTACAGCCGTCGGATTAAGGCGACGTGGACAGGGGATAAGGTGGGGACCGCAGGATGGGTGGAGATATTTTACCACTACTGAACTGATGCCGACGCGGTGGAGGAGGCGGGGGGGACGAAGTACGCTCTCTCGGACACCCACACGGCAGGAGGAGGCGGCGGCGGCGTTGTTCTCTTCGGTAGCTCCATTTCCTTCCCTTCTTTCCTTTTTGAGAGTTCCAACAGAAGGCGGACATGAGGTTCTCCTTCGGGTTTCTAATAGGCGTTCGAATAACGAGGTGGCTTGGCAGTTGGCACGACCCAGAGAGGTGGCAAGGGCGTCTCAGCCGTATCACCAGTGAAAGCCGTGAGTTGAGGAGGACGACGATGTGGGTGCGAGATGGGCAAGCGAGTGATTTGTCATCTCTCGCCTCCTCAACCTATTGATGACAAAGCTGAGGCATCGATCGTGACCCTTATTTGGACTCAAATTGCCGCTATTTTGTTGTGTGTGTATATATATATATATATATATACTTCATAAAGGAAGGAAAAAAAAAAAAGAAGGACCGAATAAACTCTTCCGAGATGAAAGAGAAAAGAAGAATCACCGGAGGGAAGAAGGGGAAGTGAAAGAGAGGGTCAAAATGAAGTGGTCCAAAGAAGCCTCGCCTGGGACTTTGGCTGCAGGGAGGGAGTACGCAGTGCTCCAGGAATTCACGGTAAACTACCAGCAGCAGTACCGATTCTGGGTGCTGAATTATTGGCAGGAAATGGGAGGAGGGAGGGGGGTGGGGGACACCGCCATGTGCGTCTACCCAATGGCCTCGTTGAGCTCCGTGCACTCTCCTCTCCTTCCTCCTGCTGCTGCTGCTGCTGCTGCCATGGCGGATTCGAGGCCATTGTCCGGAGGTGACGAGGACCGAGGCACCTCCCTGTCCTCCGCAAAGATGCATGCACTTCCCCGTCGCAGATGCTCCTCGTCACCTTTTACGTACTGCGCCTGCACCCACTCGGAGCTCTTTCCAATGTTTGGATTCTTCCTTACGCCCAAATTACTTATTGCGTGGATTTAGAATTTAATTTCAGCCTACGCCGCTAACTAAAAGCTTTTGAACTCCGATTCAAAGTATATTAAGAACGTAAAATATCTAATTTATTCTTATGTTCTGGATTGAATGATGTTGATTAAATAACCAAAAATAATATTTTTGAGTCATTCTAATTATAAATATACATTCTCGACTATATTTTAAGGGTTGTGTATGGATAGGAATAGCAATAGTACAGCTCATTATATCGATCGGCCGTCACTTGGAATCAACATGCATGCACGTAAGAGCTTGACTCGTCTCTCAGCTTCCCATCGATCATGCCATCAGACCTCTTAGCTTTCCCTCGATCATGCTACCAAACCTCTTAGCTTCCCCTCAGTCACACCATCAGATCTCTTAGTTTCTTCTTGATTGTGCCACTGATCACCAGCGATACATTACTCTCGATCATGATTTCGAAAGGGGTCGCACACTTAATCACAAGGAACATTAATTTTTGACGACATGGTTAGACTCTTCGGGCACCTAACGTCGATCCCCATCTAATGTTCATTTTAGGTATGTCATTACGTTGACAGATGACACACCCTTAGTCGTTCTTCCATGATATAATCAACAAAAAGACATTCGCTAACTATCAACATAAATGAATCTTTAACGGTACTAGAAGCTCAAGAGGGGACGAGCAATCGACCACCCTCAATCGACAAATTAAGTATAAAAGCCAACTCTTAAAATCATATGAGGGGGGACTCAACCTAAACTTTAATGAGTGCTGCTAAATCTTCTCCACTTTATCTACTAACTTAAGTGTACGAGGGATTGGGTTGGGAAATCCCCCGATGCTAACCAATTATACAAGACCCCAACGCATCTTAGGAGCACTTGGGGCAATGGGGAGCATCATTAGACGAGGCGAAGATATACCTCGGGATGACTCTGAACTTTCTTTTGTATACGAACCGCACCTCGGAAGAATCACAGCGGTCGATCGTCGTGAGCCGGTAAAACCTCAGGAGTTCACTTGTCACCCAAGCAATACGTTTAGTCTTTTGGGACGAGTCTATGCTTTCGGGATTGAACTAAGTCATGTTGACTCTTCGAACAACGAGACTCACGAAACAACATGTATCATCGAGTTTGAGTCATCTTTAACAATAAAAATTCTCCGACGTTGAGTCATGATCGTGTTTTAGTAAGCTGAATAAGAAGAGGTGTGAGAAGTCAACATGATATGAGTTACGAATGCATGAATCATGCATAGGCAGGCATCCACGAGAAACTCTTCCTCCAACGAGAAAACCCGTTAACATAACCAATGTCATCTTGACGTGCTTGGCATGCATTTATTTGCACGATGGAAAAGAATGACATGCATTTGGATTCAGATATGAGTCACATCAACATGTGCAAAAAGATTCATTGAAATTTTATTGTCACTGTGTGTTGTTTTTCTACATCAAAAAAAAAAGTGACATGGGTCTCATCAACATGTGCAAAGTGTTAATGTTCCATGATGCTTCTCTTCTTCCGATGTCAGCATCTAAATGAATCGATTCCTTTTGTTTCCGCTACTCCAAATATATATATTGACTCCATGAGTTATTTGATGGAAGCGGATTGCCATCAATCAAGTTGTTCTCATCCTTTTATTTTGACTACGTGATGAACAACAACAAGCCAAGTCAAGGAAGACGGCATTCTTTCCACCCATAGTCGAGGAAGACCAACCACAACGCTCGAGGCTTCACTCGCCAAAGGCAAAACCCTAAATTTAGCACATCAACGTGAAACGGAACATAGAAGGTCTAGTCGAGATAGAATCGACGAAAAAGAAAGACCGGTGACAAAGAGACATGGGGACGACACAAAGCAAGATCGATGACAAAGGAGGTGACGACGGACGAACTCATAAGTCATGCCTCCACAAGCAAAAAAGTGTGTGTGTGTGTGCTTCACAACATAGATCCATTATTGGGATGAATATTGCTTGACGTACGTTGTTGGGGGCAAAGATATCATGATCGATGCCACTGTTTTGAGGCAATTTTAGCATCACCTCACATGTTGGGGCCACTGACATTTTTGGAAGGTTCATAGCAATGTATACATTTATTTATATACTCCATTGTTTTCCTAATAATTTTATATGTAAGAATATATATAATTGAAAAAATAAAATTAGATGTGAACATGACAAAGATAATAATAATAATGATAATAATATAGAAACTCTAAGAATACTCAGAGAAATTGTAATTACATTAGATGGAGGAAATAAGTGCATGTACTCTTATGCATCTATTCAGAAAGAGTAAGTACTAGGGTGACTCATCTTTGATTTTTTTTTTTTGAGGTGAATGAATTCTTTTTTGTATTTTTTTTTGACAGAGGAGAGATTTTTGGATTTTTTATTATATAAGTATTTTTAATTTGACCTATTATATGCGGAGGAAAAATAAATAGTGAAAAAAAGACAAATTCTCGAAAAAAATCCTCTCATACATGTTGGTTTTGTGATTGCATTAATTGTCACGCTTATGAATTTATGATATAGTTATGGTTTAGTTAAGTTATTTTTGGATTTTAAAAATCATCTAGTGACATGATATATGATTATAGACTGCACAGGTTTTGTGAATTGTGGATTGTAGAGGTGAATGACTTGAATGTTTTTCTTAGTGACCTCAAATGTGTGATTGAATTCTGGATTGTTTGTTAAATTAAATATTATCAATATTGAATTAGGTTTACACCTCCTAAATGAGAATTAAATTCGGGGGGCATGACATAGTCGTAAATAGAAACGATACAAAGGTTTTAGTAATATAAAGAAAGAAAATATAATATCAGACGGATTCAGTTCATTGTAAAAAAGAGAAAAAAAAAGATAAATAACCGAGGATACTTTAGATGTTTCTAGAAAATTCTAGAAAAACTATTTTTTTTTGAAAAATCACTTGAGGAACATTTTAAACTCTAAAAAGTACAATTATTCGAGTTTGACGATTGACTAAGCAAAGGATAAATTCACTAGCTGTTGTCCAACTAATTTAATGGCTGCAAATCCTCCGGGGATGAGATGATGCACATCCGTCCGTCCATGAGCATCTCGTGATTAGTGCATTCTCCATCCGAGAGCAAAGTCGAAGATGCCGAGGGATAACACCCGTTCGCATCGATGCTCCTAATAACACAAAAAAGAGGGCATCTCGTGATTCCACCATATGTGATTATGGCGCACTCACACACACAATTAATTCTTCCTGTCCTCAAAGTGTTTAGCTTTTGAATGACATTAATAATTTTAGTTAATCCATCAAGTATATTATATTATATTCAATTATTATTTTTTATTATTAATTGGTCTTCTAAATGACATCAATACCCCATTTAAAAAAAATTAAGGATATTTTATCAGATTTTTTTTTTGCATTTGAACAAAAAAGACCCTAAAAAATAATTATCATAAAAAATATAAAAAAATTAATCTTTTTTATATTACATGATTCTAAGATGATTAACATCACTTTTTTTATTTTTAAAGTACAATAACTAATTATTAAAAAAAATATTTTGATTAAGTCATTTTAGTAAAAGATTGATGATATTTTCATCTAATTAGAAAAAAAAAACAAATAGAGAGGTAAATAAATATACATGAATTTTTTATATAATTTCAAATGGATGATGTGTGATCTGATTAGTTGAGATTTTATGATCTATTTATTTATTAGTACCCAAATTAGCTACTACAATTAGGTTATGATTAATTGATATTTTAAAGTTATTGAATAATTTTCAGAAAAGCCGTGTAAAAAATGATGTATAGTATAGAATAGAAATCAAAATGAGGGTTTGGGGACAGTGGAAGACCCGACCATGCTTCAAATCAAAGCCCGAATCTACCCGCTGAGGACTGGAGAACGCGACCACACGGCCAATTCACCTGAATTTGCTATGTTTTGGGGGACAATTTGAAACCCTAACAAAGCAAAGGTAACAAAAAAGGGGCGATTTTTATTTTTATTTTTATATATTTATTTATTTATACGATGGATTTTTAGTGGGGAGGCGTGCGAGGGTTTTGGTAGCGAGGGTATGGTATTTAATGCCCCTGCCTCCGCAGCCTATTGTCTCCGTCGCCACTACTCACTCTCCTTGCTGCGGTGGAGACGCAAAGAAGGAGAAGAAAGCGAGCGAGCGGGAACGCACGCTTTGGCTGTGTGCCGACTCCTCCCGCGCTGCTTTCGGTTAGCGAGCGCTCGTGTTGTCTCTCGCGTTGTTGCGCTTCGCCTCCTCCTCCTCCTTCTTTGGTCCCTGCGGATCCGTTGGTGAAGAGGGAGATGAAGTACGTGCTGGTGACGGGGGGAGTGGTGAGTGGCCTGGGGAAAGGGGTGACGGCCAGCAGTATAGGGGTTGTACTCAAGGCATGCGGCCTCCGCGTTACCTCCATAAAGATCGGTACTTGCCTTCTCTTTCTCCTCAAAATTTCTTCCTTTTGTTGTTCTCTTCTGGGGTGTGTGGGGGGGGGGGGGATGAGCATCATCACCGTCGATACCTGCCTCTCTTTCTCCTCAAATTTCCACTTTCGTCGTTCCTCTTTGGAAAAAAGTGGGTTTCTTTCTTTTGTGTTTTGCCGGGAAAGAGTACCTTTACCTATCTTGATTTTGCTTTCTGAAATTTGTGGTGTGTGTGATTTTGTCGGCTTCTCTCCCGCGAATGATCAACCTTTTCGTCAGACGGAGGTTTTCTGGGGTGTGATCGTCGTTTACGTTAATCAAGAATGTTTTTGGCCTGTGTTTCCTCGCCTCCTAATTTCCGTTTGACGTGTTCGTTCCGTTATCCGACGGAAGTGAAGCCCTTTCTGTGTTGGAGATGTCATTTTTAGAGTTCCGGGGATTCAGAAAGCGTTATCTGTTGTATGCTTCCACAGGCAATCGTTCCCAACGTTTATGCGTTAGATTTATCCCCCTTTTCCTTCGTCACGATAAAAGATACCATTTTTTCGGTTAGCAATTTGGTGCTTATACCACCCCGGTGGCAAGCTTAGACATTCTTGATTGGTTGTTATCTCTGGAATCTTAGCTTTGTATCAACTTGGTTTTGATTTTCTTGCTTTTTTATTTTGTTCTAACCTCAAGTAGTTGGCAATATATCAGTGGACTTTTTTTCCTTCTTTGAAAAAAAAAAATCAATAACAGTGTTACGAAGTAGACAAAATTAAAGAAGGGATCGGCTATGTCTTCTCTATTACCCTTTTGTAAAAGATTTTTGTATCTTCCTTTGTAGCTAGCTACTTTGGGTCAATGGGTTCCACCTTGTGTAACTTTTTCACGCAGTTTGATGTGAGGAACAAAAGCTAGCTTTCATGTGGCTCGCATGTTGCTTATTAGGTTCTTCGACGTTCTTCTTTAATTTCATCTTAAAAGTTCCTTGGTCTAATATCTATCTGTCGAGTAGTTTGTATGGATACTTTATATATGAAGAGAGTGTTATGAAACTGTTGTTCTTTGCTTCTTTGTTGCTTTTCGTGTCACTTTTATCTCTTTCTATTGACACAGCTGACTTATGCTAGTTGTTTATGATGGAACTTCTACAGACCCTTATCTAAACACTGATGCTGGGACGATGTCGCCTTTCGAGCATGGGGAAGTATTTGTCTTAGATGATGGTGGTGAGGTAAAGAGGCCTTTTGCAAGTTCTCTTATGTCTCGTATGCTTCTTTATTTTTGATATGACGAAAAGACCTCCATTGACCCACCCAGACTGGTTGTCATACATATTGTTAAATGAACATCCAGGCTATGCAAGACATTCTTTGTATCACTATATTTGGAATGAACATTTTTGAGCTTCATGTGCTTTCTGGTCTGTAGGTTGATCTGGATCTAGGAAACTACGAGAGATTCCTCGACATCAAGTTAACTCGTGACAATAATATCACAACTGGAAAGATCTATCAGGTACTCGGTCAGTTTTGGCTGTCCTTGCTAATTTATCCTGTTTTGCTATTTGACTTAAGTTTTGTAGGTGGTTTTTGAAATAAACAAAATTTAATATTAATCCTGATTTTCCTGTATTTTATTTCATTTGCACTTTCTGCATGCCTGTTTAATGTACCTGTATTTTTTTCTTATGGTTGTGTTTGGTGGCAGTCTGTCATTGATAAGGAAAGGAAGGGGGACTATTTGGGAAAAACAGTTCAGGTATGACTCCTGTTAGAGGCATCTTCTGGATCATATATATATATTTTAATGTTTTTGTAGTACCCCTGATCGTCGTCTTTATTTCCATTGCAAGGTCGTCCCACACATCACAGATGCCATACAAGAGTGGATTGAACGTGTCGCAGTGATACCTGTGGATGGCGAAGAAGGTCCAGCTGATGTTTGTGTTATTGAATTGGGTGGAACTATAGGTAAAAAGCCTCCAAGGTTATTAAAAAAGGAGAATCAGAACAATTTGTTAGTTGGAACCTTGCTTTGTGAAGAATATTATTTGTGTTCTATATCATACACTGCTTAGTTTTATAAGTATGCAGTTATGTAGCCTTGATCTATATATGTCATGATTGAAATAAGTGGTGTGTTGATGCAGGCGATATTGAATCAATGCCATTTATCGAAGCTTTGGGTCAATTTTCTTACCGTGTAGGTGAGGATGCAGTGCGAGACTCTTTTAATGATTCCTTTAGCAGCATCATATTTTCTTATGATTTTTACATAGTGTTCTCTTAATGGTTATTATACAGGTCCTGGTAATTTCTGTCTGGTTCACGTCAGTCTTGTACCGGTTTTGAATGTCGTTGGTGAGCAGGTAATTAATGGAGAATAGCTATCGTCCTTATGGTGATAACTAGTTGATCCTTCCTAAATTTAGTTTGGGTGATATATATCTGCCGACTTCTAAGATGCCATTTTTTGCATTTTCTTCTAGAAAACTAAACCAACCCAACATAGTGTACGTGGTCTAAGAGGACTTGGATTGATACCAAATATTCTTGCTTGCCGCAGTGCTAAGGTCTGTTGCCCACTTCCTTCTCCTTTCAGGCTCCTGCTTTCTGTCACTATTTTATGTTAGTCCTGATAGTTTTTTCTTTATCGATGCTTTTTACAGCCACTGGAAGAAAATGTTAAAGAAAAGCTTTCACAGTTTTGTCACGTTCCGGTATTTTGACATTCTTTTTTTGTTCAAACAATGAAGTTCATAACCCTGGTGCTAAGTGAAGCTCTTTTTAAACTTTATGCAGGTATCAAATATCATCACCCTTTATGATGTTACAAATATTTGGCACATTCCTTTACTGTTGAAGGTAGAGTTTCTGTAGTTCTAAAAACAGTGTTATTGATTTTACATTCTGCAAGTCTAAAAGATTCTTTTTGTTGTTTAAATTTGTCTTAAAATTTATTATGCCTTGCAGAAGCAAAGGGCACATGAGGCTCTAATAAAAGTTTTGGATCTTCAAAGGTTTGTATGGTCCACTCAACATGTTTACTTCCGTATTGATAACACAGATTCATGTTATGTTAAGCTGCTAAGGAGCCTTACAAGTTGTGCTCTTGTTGACTTTTTTTTACATATAGAGTTGCTAAGGAACCCATGTTGGAAGAGTGGATGAGAAGAGCAGAAATCTACGACACTTTGCAGGATCCTGTTGGTTCCTTATGCTCATATTCTCTTCCTCCAGCAGGTGCTGTTGTTTCATCGACTGCTGAATGTAATTATCATTCGTTTTTCAGGTTAGGATAGCGATGGTTGGAAAATATACTGGCCTTTCGGATTCTTACCTTTCAGTATTGAAGGTGAAATATTTGCTTCACTTTTTGAGTACCTATTTGTTTCCATTTTATTCTGGACATGTTAAGGAATGGTAGTAGTTGATCTGTTTTTACTTAATCAAAATTTTAACTTTTTTACTTATCATAAATACTTTTGCTTCACTGATCTCACTCGATCATTACATGTATTGAGTATTTTGTCACAAGATCACCAATCAATTTGCATAATCTTGTGAATCAATGAGTATGTTAATACTGATGCATTTAGTTTCCCGATAAGTGTACTTCTCTATGTAGACATTTAGTTATAAGTGATCAGCTTGCGAACCTTTCGTCAGGCGCTTCTGCATGCTTCTGTTGCTTGCCGTAGGAAACTGGTAGTCGACTGGATAGCAGCCACAGACCTTGAGGAAAATACAGAAATAGAGGTTTGCTTTTAATTTTTTCCCATCTTTTTGTCTGTTATGTTTTTCCTTTTGGTTGGCTTTTCTATGCTAAAGATCTGATTATTTGCTTTTTATACAGACACCTGAAGTTCATAAAAGATCATGGGATCTATTGAAGGTAAGTAGCAACGTTACGTTTCTTGAACTTTTAAAATTCATGTGCATCAACGGCTTCTAGTTATATTTGATGTAGCAAGGTTTTTGTTGTTTATGTTTAGTCATCTTGACAATAGTTCAGTTTAGGCTGCAGATGGTGTACTAGTCCCTGGAGGTTTCGGAGACAGAGGGGTGAAAGGAAAAATTCTTGCTTCTAAATATGCCCGTGAAAACCAAGTGCCATATCTTGGCATTTGTCTTGGAATGCAGATTGCCATCATCGAATTTGCTCGCTCAGTTTTGAACTTACCGCACGCAAACAGTACAGAGTTTGACCCTGATACAACAACCCCATGTGTTATTTTTATGCCCGAGGTAAGTTATTATGCCAGTATTATATTGTTTATAGAAACCTTCTGTTGCCTTATACATTTTGAGTGCTATACAAAGGGATCGAAAACTCATATGGGAGGTACAATGAGACTTGGATCAAGGAGGACGTATTTTGATGTTTCCAGCTGCAAAGCTGCAAAATTGTAAGCGCAGAGATTCTTCTTGAACCTGTGCCTTTTTTACAATTTTCTACTATAAGGTTTTTGTTGTTTTTACGGATGATAATTTATAACTTTCCTAATTTTTTTTATCAGGTACGGCAATGTCAGTTATGTCGATGAACGACATCGACACAGATATGAGGTCAGTTCAGTTATATGCTTATATTACGAAATTTCAGTAGCTCTGGATGCCAATTTTGATAATTATTTGTGGAATGCTTTTTCTTTGACAATGCTGTATTGTTACTTTTGTAGGTAAATCCACATATGGTCCCAGAATTTGAAAAGTCTGGTCTTGCTTTCGTCGGTAAAGACGAAACAAGAAAGCGAATGGAGGTATGCATTTAATAGTTATTTTAAGTTTTATGATGTGTAGTTTATCTTGGTGATATTTGGCATTTTACTAATTGATGTAGATAATCGAGCTGCCTAGTCATCCATATTTTATTGGTGCCCAATTTCATCCAGAGTTCAAATCTAGGCCTGGAAAACCATCTGCACTTTTCTTAGGTAATGCCTGTCTCATATATCTATTTTCTTTTGGCCTACTTTGCTTGTGATCTTCATTATATTTTCTGAATTTATGCATGGAGCGTATGTGCTGCCTATGATAACTTGTCTATAGTCTTGTGATTGGTGCTGATAAGAATGTCATTGACCACTTCCATACTGTTGTTGTCATTTATCACATGAAGATGCGTAGTCTTGTTGTTGTCACCGTCACTGTCACTGTCACAACATCTTTATTATATATTAAAGTTTGAACTGGTGGGATGTTGATGCATGTTTTTTTGGACTTACATGAGTTTACCTTGTCATTTAGCAAACAGCTGCATGAATCATGAACTAAGTAACTATGGATGGACCAAAACCTACAGTTTGCCTCACGGACAAGCCCTTTTCTGTGAGCAGTATGAGTTTATTGTTTTCTCATTGTCAAAGGGATGGTAACCAGGGCGGTTTCCTCATAGACTGTAGCTATATAGATTCTTGGATCTATTGCATAATAGCTGAACTCTTAATCATATACCTTTGAAGAAAACCTTCCTTGTTCTTTCCATAATAACATTTTAGTTTTCTCAGCCAGAATTGTAGAACAGAAACTGCATTTTCGTATCTAAGAAATTATTAAAGTGCAACTCCTACAAATTGTTTTACAGGGCTCATAGCAGCCTCATGTGGGCAGCTGGACACTTTACTGAGAGCTCCTATTCACCATAGCAACTTAGTTCCAAGACACATCTCAACCAATGGTTCACACATCACAATCTATGGTTCTGTGCCAACAAAATCTTTCCAGAATGGGAATCTGAAGAAGCACACCAAGAGCCTGGCCAATGGAAACTTCCACTCTAACGGCAACGGCGTGCTCCCATCACACTGAAGCCAATCAACATGGGTATCGTGCTGCTTTCGTGGTTGTCCGGTTTTGGCCACATTAGTTTTTTGTTCTTTCCTAGCTTAAATTAGTCTCTGCGGTCGATCAAGAAACGAAAAGGTCTGCAGCTACGAGGGATTGGTGATAGGATAAGCGCGGTCTTGTTCCAAGGTTTTAACAAGGAACAGCCTTGTTCTTGCTGCAACCAGGGAGAGTTTGAATGTTCCCTCTTCCTCTATAGAACGAGTTATGTTTGGTCTTTGTTGAAAGGAACCTTGGTATCTTAATTGTACAGTGCTAAGAACTTCTTTTCGTTCCTGATATAATGCTTAAATTTCTGCCGGACACTGTTTGGTGCACTCTCGAGTGTCTCATGACGTTGTTATCTTGTGCACTGATCAATCATCACAGCTCCTTTATCCATCCATCACTCCGTGATTGGTGTGGCATGTTATGATCATATGTGTGGCCTGAAGAGAAACAACAGCGAACCGAATCGGAGCTTGAAGCATCGGATCGGGCTGGTTGAGTCAGATCGGATCCGACGGAGGATCGAGGGTGATTTCGTCATTTGAATGATAACCTATGTTTTTTTTTCTTACGTCTCTATCGATTACCAAACTTCGTACACTTGTGATGAACGAATAACATTCTTGGGGGCCGCAAGTGGCGAGAGTCGCCGTCCGGGTGCAGTACAGGGTTAGTCGTCGACACGTAAATTATAATGTTTTAGTTTCTTGGGGAGTTGGGAACCTGTTGGGGAAGGAAATCGAATCGGATGTGGGTTGACCCGTAATTTTGACCGGTCTGATCGAATTGAACCGAACAGAACTAAACCGCTCTAATAGATCGATCGGGAGACTCCCGTTCGCTACGTAAACCCTAGCGGCTTGGAGGTAAAAGAGAAGAAGAAGAAGAAGAAGAAGAGAGGAGGGGGCGGCCACGGTAAAGGGGCTTCGATCTCTTTTCGTTGACGAGTAGGTCTCTTTCTTCACTTTGGTGATCTTCGTTTTGTTCCCCCTCTGGTTTCGTTTAGTGTTACTGATCCCGGAGTGCTTTATCTGGCGGTGAACTGAGGAAATGACACAAAGATCTAATTTTCACACAGCTGGAACTGTAATGCATCCATGTATTTATCTGTAAACCCGTTTTTTGAAGTCTATACTTCAATTTTCTGTATGTTCTTTCGAATTTCTTGAACCGAAGCCTTAGCAGACATAGTCTGTCTTTTCAGGCACAATAGGTTCTTATTCATCCTCACGCATTCTTGAATTCTGTAACTATATGTAAATCTTGCCAGGCACTGTAGGTTCTTTCTCATCGTAATACAATCATGAATCACTTGGTCTATCTCTGATTTAGAAGAACACCCATTTTCTTATTCCCAGAAAATTAGTGTTGAAACATATTCAAATCTGTTATTTAAGACTTCTTTCTAGATTAATTCTAGTTAGTATTAGTTAGGCTGATATGGAATGAGCCCTTTTTTGTGAATCAAAGGTCGAATTCCCTTTCTGGTGGAAGGAGAAAGGCATACACTTCTATTGATTTGAAAATGTCATATGCTACACACGAAATTCTGTCTTATTAGCATTATCTGAGTGGAACTTGTCTTGCATGGTTGGAGAATGACTAGAGACTATGATACCAACACCATATGGATCCTCCGGTTGGAAATTTTGGCTAGAATACATTATACCATTGTTGAGTGCCAAAGAAGTGGTGACTTTATGACCTCAAGTAGGAAGACTAGTCAAGTCAGTAGACATCCATGGTTGGTGAAAGTCTGAAGAATAGGTTGGTGGCAAGTATTACAGCAGTCTTCTCATGGTTTCTCATGCTTGTACATAGTTTATCATTGCTGAGATGCTGCATATTTTAGTGGACTGTTGTTCCAGTTGCATGTAATTGAGTAATGGCCAATCTTGGATGATTAAGGTTCATCCTGTTCTAGGGATCAGCTCCTGCTGGCACCTTTCAACTTTCCCATGGGCCAGGCATCAATACTTGAGTACAAATTTTGACCAATCATCAATGCATCTGATAACATATAGTGACTTGTGGGATAAATGTTTGAAAACAGGCTTAGGACACTTCCTGAAGCAGAGATTCTGCTGGTTGTTTTAGTTTAGTCAGGGTACATGAAGAGCAATGAACACAAGATGATATAATTTTTCTCATTTATTGATTTTTTTCTGTATACAAAGGAAGACATATATAGGCTGATTACAACCTATACAACTAAGGAAATTGATTCTATACAACATTTCATTCTAATTCATTTCCTATAATATGGGCCCGTTTGATAACAATTGAGAATCCCTTAATTATGATACTAATTCATTTCCTTAATTATGGGATTATAAAATCTCTTAATTATGGAATTTAGAATCCTTCAATCATGGATTTTCTACAGTAATAATGGAGGTGTGAGTAGAGTTCATGTTAGATTTAAGATTTTATGATCAATGTTCCCTAAATGGAGGGAGTTCATTCCGGGATTTTCACTGATCCTAATCACAAGTGTTCCGGTTCTTCTACCTCACAAGTATCTTGTTCTGCTATATTGAAACCCTTTGCCTCTCTTGCTCGTGATACTTGAAACAATTGTGTACCCACACCTTTGCATCTTTTACATAAGACTAACTATTCATAATCAATAAGGATTTCAGACTTTTAAGTGGCATTAAGCTGTCATAGCTGTTGATTTTTTTTTAATTACTGCTAACTTCATCTTTGGTAAAGTTCTAGTTTAGTTGAATTGGATGTGCTTAGCTTAAATTGTATAAATCTGAAATCTCTAGTTTTTTTTTCCTAATTCTTTTCTTCTTTGACTATAGATTTCCTTGGACTTTTTTTTCTTTAAAGTGATTTGCTTATGCTTATAATATTGTGTTAGCATCAGATGGTGTCTGACTAAGTTATCCTGTAAGTGCTAGTTTATGTGGATTTCTATCTGTAGCTCATTGTATTTGCAAACATCTTCTTAAGAAGCTTGAATTTTATGGCTTCGATAATACTATTATTTTTATTGATTTAGAAAAAGTAATGGTGGTTTAGTATGTGCCTGTTATGAAATACAAGAACATTTATAGCATATGCTCACAAACTCTTGGAGGTGCTTCGTTGATATATACTTAAAGATATCTATCAGGGAAAAAAGATAACTAGATGACCTCTTTTACCAATATCCATGGGAACATGATCAAAACATCTGGATTACATACTAGCTTCTGTTAAAAGCATCTTGTGGAAGGATCATGGTGTGATTCTGTGCCTGCTATGTGAAATAATAACACTTGATCATATGTCTACAAACTCATGAAGGTGGTTTATGACTTGGTATGCTTACTAACTCTTGATGGCAGTTCCTTGCATATACTTGAAAGAAGTATTCTCAAGGAAATAAGATATCAAGATGACCGTTTGTGCCAAAAGTTCATGGGGACCTCACTATTCTTGATTTTCTTGGCATGAATATTTGTACGAGGAATAGGATATCTAATATGAGATTGAAATTTGTTTGTTGATCAAATATTTTTCTCTTTTTGTCATGTGGCGAAAAAGATGAAGAAAGGGATACATCCACAACTGCAATGGATTTCATATGTGACTCAGACTGGTAGATTGATTAATGTTATGATGACCAGATTACACCGTGTCGGCCGTGTCTACCAGTTGAGACCTAGGCGTCAGATGGCACCAACTCTGAGCCAGATTGCCAAGTTCAACCTCAGATATGGTCTGAAGAATGAGGAAAATAGTGAAAAATAACCTGTCCTTGTATTCAGCATGTGAGGTATATCGATAGGCATTGCATTTGGAGATTTGGACAATTTAGTTTCAGACACTAGCTAAAACTCTGTTTTTGAGTTTCAATGGTGTGTGATATATGTTGCTCCCAAAATTGCCTATGAATAAGAACTTTATCCCGCACATTAGGTGGGGTTCCGCATCCCCTTATTTTCCGATACCCGTCTTTTTTTCGGGTTCGAGATTTACGCATGCCTATGAATGTGGTAATAATTGCTACAGGGATTTATTCAGGTCAAAATGGTAGCGTGTTGTTGAATGCCTTCATCAAAGATATGTTGAAGTGTTGTTGAATACCTTCCAGTAAAGATGTGGTTCAAAAGAAAAGATTAATTTGATGGTTGACTGTTCTTTTCTGAGGAAAATTTCTGGATGGGTTCGAGCATGCCCAGCCAAAACCTTTTTCGTTCTCATGCCAATATTTGGGTTTCTTATCCATTGCCTCACAATTATTTGCATTTTGCAGCACCTGGAAATTTACTACGATAGCCACAAATAGCTGTGCATCACAAATCCATCCCTCACCGTGTAGCACGTGATCTAATAAGTTGTGTTTTGTTTCGACTTGACCCGACCGAATTCCCCATCCCAATTCCTCCATTGGGCGACCCAATCCAATTGGGTTCGTGCACGTCATCTAATAGCAAAATGATTCGACTTGATCCGATCAGATTGGCGGTCCTAATTTCTTGCATTCGGCGCGCGGCGACCCCAACCGACCCGAGTCCAACGGGCTCGATAGTCTTGAGTCCGGTACGGCAGCAGATATTTCGCGGGGCGGGCGGAGCGCGAGGGGAGTGAGGTGGACGCGCGCGGAGCTCATGGAGCAACGCCTCCGCCTCTTCCCCACACGCAACGCTCTCGCGCTCCGCCTCACGCCGCCCTCCTGTCCCCTCTATATATTCACGCTCCCTCCCCTCCCCTCCCCACCTCTCCGCCGCTCCCTCCTCTCCTCCTCCTCCCCCTTTCCCTCACCCTCTTCGTCGTAGGGTTCCATTAGATCTCTCCCTACCCCACCCATGGCGCTTTGCGGAGTCGCCTTCCTCCCGGCGGCGGCCGCGCCCGACGCGCTCAGGATCGGCCTCCCGATTGGCGCGGCTTCGCCCTCTCCCCGCCCCCGGCGCCTGACGGGACCCCTGCATCCGCGCAGGCGCCAGGCGACGTGCTCTCTGGGGAGGATCGCGTCATTTGCGGCCTCCACCGGCGCCGAGGAGGTGGCTGCGGCGGAGGCGGCGGATGAGGAGGAGGTCGGGCCGGTCGTCAAGTTCAAGATGTCCCACTTCATCGTCTCTGATCACGTTAGCGTCGGACTTCAGGGAAGGGTGCGTTCGGGCTTCTTCTTCCACCTAAAAATCGTTGACTTCTTGGTTCCGCATTGTGCTAATCAATTGCTTGGTGCGTGAGTGCGTAGTCGGACGAGGTGATCTACGAGGCGACCGTTCGCGATCCCAACAGGTGAGTAGAATTACCTTCTGTACCCGACCACAATGCTGGTTTGTTCGATCCGAATTGCCCTAATCCGGAACGAAGGTGAAGGATTGCTTTCTTTTGGGTGACGCTATTTCTTCAGCCCACTGTACAATTCGAGGGTAGTGCTTCGACAACTGACGAGCGTGCAAGCCAAGCGCAGAGGTCGTCGTGCATTAGAGGTTGGTCTGACTGATCTCGTGCAAAATAACAGGATAAATTTCGTGCAATTGTTGGCTTTGTTTGTATGGATAATCCACCTCAAGGCACTGATTCTGATGTTGTTGGTGATCTTCCAGGTGCTGAAGAGGCTTGCTCGGCGCAAGCTTATGTACCACTCCTATGCAATGCAAGTCTATGGCTATGTATCTCCTTCGAATACTGGGGATGATGTCCCATTCACCTTGGTGCATGGCGTAAGTTTAGACCGTTTAGTATTCTGTGCTACCATAATATCAGAGTGAAAACAAAGAAATGGGAGTAATAGAGTGATTTTATGATACTTCGTGTCTAGGAATAAATTATGAATTCAGGTCTCAGCAGGTGAAGCTGCTTATTTTGTCTATGAGTCAAAATTTGGAAATAGGAAATCTGACAACACAGGCAGTCTTCTTTCTGCAGTATCATGGGAGTTATTCTCTGAGGCACTGGCTTCAACTCTCAGACTGGTTTCCAACTTTAGAAGCTACTTTGGCACTGGATGAAGAGTGTCTTAGGAGGGTCGGGGATGATTCAACAGGAGGACCTGCTGTAACTCGGCAGCTACGTCTTACAAGAATTTTGATGAGAGATCTTTTGATTGGAGTAAGCATCTCCTATACATGGACTCTGTGCATGTTCATGCTTCTGGTCACGATTTATTTCCATTTCTGGGTTCTGCAGGTTAATTACTTGCATAGTCATGGATTAGCCCATACTGAATTAAGGCTGGAGAATGTACATATTAGTCCAGTTGACAAACACGTAAAAGTAAGGCTTCAATTCTTGTCCTATGCATTACCATTTGAAAATTTTTATGACTTGTAATGAGTATGAATTATTGTTTGGTTTGTAACTTTGCACATTCTTGAAATATGGTTCCACTATGATATTAAAATAGCAGGCAAAACCATCATCGCAGCTGTCCACCTCTCTCTAGCCTTGTCCAAACCCATTCGTAGGTCCTCAAGGAGCTCTGCAGTCTTTATGGTAGCTGCAGAGTACTGTTTTCAGACTAGCAGACCCCATCTTGGACTGGTGTTGTCTGTCTCAACACAGCTGGGGTGGCTGGTTGAGGACCGGCCATCCTAGTTCATAAACTGTTTAGGACTGGCTAGGGACCAGTTCATATTTGCCGCTTCTCATTTCCCACCTCGACTAGAGAATTCATCTTCTAGTTGATTTGAGGCATCAATCCTCCCTAATTTAGGAAACACCTGCTGGTCTTCAAATCCAATTATTGTACATAAGGTTCTGTGTTGGAGCTCGAAGTCTTCTCCTTTCCCTTCTGAAGCAGCACAGCTGCTCTTCCATCCGTCTCTGACCATGTTGTGTGCATCTTGGGGTGGTGTTCCGATCCATCTGGGTCTGGTACCAGACAAGTTCATATTGTAGGAGTATCAGGCTGCTGTTGCTGACCCAAATAGGGCTAATTTACACTTTATGGCCAATTATGGTCTAGAATTACCTGGAGTTGCTTTGTAATAAATATGTTTTCAAACATCTGGAGTATGACATATGGTATGACTTTTCACTTATGAAATGGGTATTCTCCAGAGTTTGTTTGGTGATTGTATGATTCTCCAGAGTTAATTTCAATAGTCTAGTTACAATGCATATACTGTTCCTGTTGTGTTAGCTTCAACATTTCATTTGACAAGCATATGATGTTGCTGTTATTAGATAGGTATCCTTGGAAATGCTGTTGACTTTTACAACAGCAATCCAAATGACAGCATGGTTGATAGGAACAGCAACAGGAGGAAAATGATGATTGCATTTGACATGAGGTATGGTGGCATGAATTAACATGAATGATTATACCACCAGGAAGCACAAAAAGTATTTTTTTCCCCTCATAATTGTTTAATCTCTTCTGTATTCTAGATGTGTTGGTTTCATTATGGCAAAATTGATTCTGAGGGAGCTTATGGATGCTTCAACGTTTCTAAAGTTCAAGTCCTTTCTGACGAAGGTTTGTTTTAAGTTTTTGTAAAAATAAATTTCTTGCATGAGCGAAATACATAATTTCAATTGGTCTGGAGTAATAAGGTAATCATTGTGATGCTCCTTGCATATATGTGGTCAAGTTCTGTAGCCTAAACCTGGTTATTGCTTTCTTGGCTTTACATCTTCATGAATTCCTTATTTTTTTTTTATTTTTATGTATTATGTTCTCACTAAGCTCATCACATGTTGTCGGAACTTTTATATGTTTGGATCTTGCTCACTCTTTTGCAATTTAGATCTCTCTCGAGTATTTTGTCAGGGTTGTTCCATGATAGTGTAATTGCACAGGACAAAGTTATGTAATTAGGCTAAACTCCATTCAGATAGTACTATATACTTACATAAGGAATATTTATAATGTAGGGCAGGGCTGGGATTGCGTTTTCATGGTTTATTTTTCTAGGAGTGTTACAAACTTACAATTTAATTTTGGCAATTGGAACTTATTTTGAAGTTGAAAGATTGGAGATGACAAGCATAAAATGGACACAATGTGAGGGAAAGTTACTAAAATTGTTTCTGTTCCTAGGTCTTAACAATGTTCTAGTCAAACAAATCGTAATCAGAAATCTAAGTAGTGCTTACTAATCATATTTGAGGTTGTCGTTTGTTTTCTTGTAGGTCTTATCGACTGTGAAAATAGATTGATCTCCTTTTTATGTCTTACAAAATTTTTAGCTTCTTTGATCATTTCCACATAATCAGGATTAAATTGTACAAACACATGTTGAACACTCATTATGGCTAAATTGTTGTTTAATAAAATAAGGCTTCTGAGTATACTTATTTTTCAATTAGACCCATATTATTCAAGACTGGTTTCTCACACCTTGTTGCTGCAGGGAAATGACCCTTCATGTTTGCGCGGGTTCCTCTTGCCAATTCTGTTCCGAGATTCACCCTCTGGAAATGCTGGTTTGCAGGTATACATTGCTTACCTTCCCTAAATTTCAGCTAGTTAGAAGCCAAAAAATGGATGTTCTGATTAAAATAAAAATTCTATGTTTTTTTAGATAATGGATAGGAACTGGGGTGCTGGTTGGAACCTTCTATCACGATTGCTGGCATTAAAACCTTCTGAGAGGATAAGGTATATGCAAAACATGACTTTACAACAAAAATAATATTCGTTGCAGGAAAAGGTCACAGAGCTTTTCAGTTTGTGGATATTGGATCAGTGTTAAATGTTAATAGAATTAACTATGTTTCGTTCAACATTATTAAAAAATTGTGGGTTTTTTTTTAATCAACATGATGGTAGTTGATATTTAGGAAGGATAATTATACTCGATAGTTAGTTTTTGTTAGTATAATCTGTAACATTGTGAAGTATGCCATGCTGGTCACCTAGGGCTTTGGTGTTCTTATTCAATCCTCCTGAGTGAAGTTATTTAATTGGCTTTTCCTTGCAGTTGTTTGGATGCTCTTAGACACCCATTTTTGTGTGGTCCGAAATGGCGCACAGGCCCGTCTATGGATTTGATCCGCTGGGGCTTAGGATCAACCACTGTTCGCATGGCAGAAGATTACATCTATGTCGGGCATCAGGTACTTGAACTATTGAGAAATGCAGGAAATTGCTACTTAAATGACCACTTTGCCATGTGTTTAGTGCAAACTTGATACTCAGACCTAGCATAAGCCGTATCAAAGGTTAATGTCATAAAGACCTAGAAGCACAGGGCTTGTAAAGCCATATCACAACAAAGATGTCACATGCTTACAGGACTGATCTTTATCAGGATGAGTTTGCCGATTTACGTTTGGTCCTGAAGTATAAAATTTAGATTTGTAAGCTACATGCATAAGTATTACCACTGCAGCATTGATGATTGTTTTTGTCATGGGTACAGCGTAACAGGATAGCTTATTTCATAGAGTTGATGGAGTTGCTTAATCCAAGTCCAAGAACAAAGGTAACACTCCAGTCTAAATAAATTGTGTGATGCATTTATTCTTGTTTATTTTCATTCTTCTTCCCTTTCCCAGGAGTCTGATGACTATTCATAGCTATTGCCTTGACACCAAAGAAGAGTCAGACCCAGTGCATTATTTTTGTCCTAGTTGATCCTGATTCAACATTATATCGATTGTTCCCCAATGTTGGAATACTTTTTTTCTGCAAATACTGCATATTCGATTCCACAGCTTTTAATCGTGTTACTAGGGGGGTTTAGATATCTTTTATTTATGTTTAGAAATGACATATTTCCCCTTCAAATTTTTATATAGCTTATATCCCTTCAAATACTTAATCCTTCATATGTGCCACTCCCCTTAGAATCCATCCAAGAGACTAAGAAGACATTTATATATGCAGTAGTTATGGAAGGCGGTAATATGAAATCACTAACTGTGGAATGAAATATATGAAAATTTTGCATTTTATTTAGTTGAATGTTATTAGCTTCTTCTGTATCATTATCCAGTAGGAATGTTTATTTGAACCTTGCAGGGGTGGTTCAACTTCTTGCCTGGTAGATGGCGCCTGTTATACTCCACAGGAAGGCATATAGGATTGACGCTTCGACAAACTACACCAAGTGTTCTCATCCGTGATGTGCATCTAACTTTCACAAAAGCTTCTGATTCAGATCATCGCACTTTTTCGCTAGTGTCTGACATTAGCTTCAAGGTCATACCAACTCCTGAATGGCCACACGACAAGTCTGGACCGCCCGGAAGTTTGCGTGTCGAGTCCTGTGTCAAGATCTGCCCTGGACGAAGGCTTTATCCTAAAGAAGAGGATGGTGAAGCCAGCAGTACTCTTTTCCAAAACTCTTCTGCTCATAACTTGTCTCGTAGGAAATGGAAGGGGATGGGCAATATTAAGGAGCTCCCATCCAGCGTCCCCACCGTGAAACTTTTGGTGGACGACATTGATGTATCGATGAGACTCGATTCATCGTCGTTAAGCGTCGACACCGCCGAGAAAGTTCTTCGGGAGGTTCGCACTCAGATCCCTTTTGAAATGTTTGATGTGTCTAAATTTGTTTGCGGCACTTATGTAGACTCAAGAATGATGGTTCTTCGTGGAGTCAGTGGATCGGCTCTGCTCTTCACAAGATCATGTCCGACGAATGATGCTATCTAAATGTTTTTTGTTTTTTTTTTGGGAGAAAAAGCAATGTGTAGATTCTTTTTCTTCTCTCTCGATGTAAAACAAAAAACAAAAAACTTGTACCATTATGAACACATTGTATTATTTCTTGAAATGTTTGAGTGCCAGCCACATTACATGGTGACCCAAATCTTCTGTTGGTGTTAATAAGTAAAATTAATAATATTTATTATTTTAGATCTATAAAAGTATAATTGGCCTGATGATTAATTTGCAAAAATATTGTAATCTAAAAGACATCCGACAACCATATAAAATTGTTTTTTAATTAAAAAAATTAAAACAATTTATTTATTAAAACTTCTTTTAAGTTAACACGTCGGCATAAGTGTTCGATCGGGCATGCTTTCCGGGCTTTGGTTTGTTAGTTCCCCCCCCCAAGCGTTCATTACTCTTTGATGGCCATCAATCCCGCCTCCGCACCAGCATACGAGATCTGCGTCTCTACCATTCTTTCGCTTCCTCCGTCGACGACGACAACGACGCCTAGGGTTTTGTGGGACGCTACCACGAGGAGGCGATGATGCGACCGCGTCAGGTGCGAATCAATCACCTCCTCTACAATCCTAACCCTAACGTCGTAGACCTTCGCTCCTCCTCCTCCTCCTCCTTCCAAATTGCAGTTTGTTCGTCGGCGACATGATCCTTGGATGCGAGAGGTAAGTCTGGTGCTCCGTTCCGTTTGATGGAAACGGAGCCTGCACCTAATCTATTTATTGCTAGTCTGGATCAGGAATGTTCCACCCAAACGACCTGTGGTGGCAAGTCAGAATCAAGCATAATTTATCTTAGCAATAGTTGAAATCCAGACTCAACTCATTTGGTCTTATCCCCTCTTAATGTTTGTTACATTCGTGCAACTTGTTTCCTCCCTCTAGTTGACCATTTTTCCCCCTTTTTTATTTAAATATTTTTTTTCATGTATTATTAACAATTAATCAATTTTATGTGATTTTTCTTGTTTATTTCAGACTACACATTATTACTATATTTTTTTTTGAATTATGTTGAACATATTACCCCCAAAGAAAGGTATTGGATTTAAGGAAAGTGGCTGCAGTGGAGACAGAAGCTGTTGTCCGATGAGAAATGACAACGGGGAGGAAGACAAAGGAGAGGCCAGACGTAAAAGGCGGCAACTTGTATGGGGGCGGAGACGGCGGCGCGCGAGGTGGTGCCCAACCAGCCTACCACCCCCATGCGGCCCAACACTTGCCTCCCTCTCTCTGATACCACCCCTTCGTCTTTTCCGGACACGTGCTCAGATTCCCCCTCCCATCCCCATCTTCCCATACAAAGAATACCCGTCAGGGCCGACCTCAACCTCTCCCACATGACGGCGCAACCCAAAACTGGTACCTCTTTTCCTCCGTTAATCAGCTCTCTTTCTCCTCCTTCGCCCTCGTTCCCTCTCCACGGCAATGTTAGAAGCTATCTGTGGTGGCCGACCATGGCTGCTATCAGTTCCTTTCACTAAGACGTGAACACCGAGGGTTCCCATTCCTTTCTTGTTCTTCTTCCTCCAGATTTCTCTCCCGCATGGCAATGTCAATGCTACCGGTTGGGCGGCGACGGACATCCCAATGTTGGTGGTGAGCGTTGAGATGCAGCTTAATTCATACGCTGATTAATTAAAGCTACGCGGCACGTCACCGACCCTCGCTTTTCCTGCACATGGCCTGTGCTACTATGACTGGTGTGCCCCTCACAATGTTCATGAACCACCGTGGCACACGCTGTTGCATGCATCATTAAGAACAGCTCATAGTCGGGTGGGAGAGCAGTAGATCCACCGTCCACGTTGGCCAGTTTACTTAAAGGCATCATATTTTTAGGGTTTTGGTAAATATGGCTTCTATTTAAGCCGCGTTTAGGCGGAGGAGATGTGCGGGAAGCCACACGAATCCCATTTGACTTGTACATGTGTTTATCTGTTTCAGATCGATGGGTCATGCGTGGCGGTAAATAGAACTTGAAGCCGCCGAAAGGAGGGGGAGGAGGGGGGGCGGGGGAGAGCCGCCGGGGAGGCGGCGGCGTCGGCGGCGGCGGAGGAGGAGATGATGGCGAGCGCGGCGGTGAGCGTATCTGGTTCGTCTCCGGTGGCGGCGGCGGCGATGGCGAGGGATCACCGTGCTGAGGGAATGCGGCGATCGGAGTCGGGGACGGATCTGTCTGGGATGCGGCGGTCGATGTCGGCTCCGCAGCTCCGGTGCTCCCTGAACGTCCCCCGCGCGGCAGCGCCGGCGTCGCTGAAGAGCAGCCGGTCGATCGGCGTGTTCCCATTGGGATCCATCATCACCAATTCGATCCGGTCGTTCCTGTTCGACTCGGGGGAGGGGGTGACCGGCGGCGGCATGAGGCTGGTGGAGCCGGCGGAGGAGAGCGACGAGGAGGTGGTGGCGGGATCGGAGGAGGAGGGGATCGGACAGGAGAAGCGAGCTAATTGGGTGGCACGGATCTTGGAGCTGAGGCGGCGGTGGAGGGATCGGCAGCACAAGGTCGATGGAGTGGAGGAGGAAGACAAGGAGGGAGGTGAAGAGGATGGCTACTGTGGGGTGAGTTACGAGTCCGAGGAGGAAGAGGAGGGCGAGTGGGATCGAGAATCGTTCGAGAGTCTGTTGGGGCGGGTCCCGTGGTCGGACGAGAAACTCTTCTCCCAGCTAGCGTTCCTCTGTGACATGGCCTACGTGATCCCCGAGATCAAGGTGAGCTCTCCCCTCCATCTCTCCCGTCCGTTTCGATCTCAACGGGTCTCTGGTTGTTCTTCTCCCATCGGCAACCGTCGCTGTTTGAATAAATCGATATTTTTAATTGTATTTTTAGAGGAACATATTTTAATATTCACTTGCCCTTTTGCCGTGCGAATCACAGGAGGAGGAGCTGCGTGCGTGGTACGACGTCGGGTTCGTGACATCGTCCTTGGAGAAGAAAGAGGAGGCCGCGATCAGGGCCAAGTTCGAGAGCGACTCCACGCCGCTCCCGCAAGGGCCTCAAGGATCCGATCCCATGACGACGGCCCATCCCAACCGGCAGGTCCGCCCGTCTCTCGCTTACAAGGTCGCCGCCTCCGCCGCCTCCTACGTGCACTCCCGCGCTAAGGGCCTCCTTTCCCTCGGCAGCGGAGCCGGGCACTGCGCGGCCGACTCGGAGGAGACCTTGGGTCCCAGCAGCTATGGCTACAAGAACCCCGAGGTGGCCGCCTACGTGGCGGCGTCGACGATGACGGCGGTGGTGGCAGCGGAGGAGGAGGCGAGGCAGGAGGCGGCCAAAGATCTCCGCTCCCTTCATTCCTCCCCGTGCGAATGGTTCGTGTGCGACCACGAGAGGACGCGCACCCGCTGCTTCGTGATCCAGGTGCGTTCGCTCTCACAAACAAGTATTCTCCCTAGTCCATTATCTCCCGCAATTTTCACCATCTCTAATACAGTCGCTCGCGACTGGATGTGCAGGGATCTGACTCGCTGGCTTCTTGGCAAGCAAATCTATTCTTTGAGCCCACCAAATTCGAAGTAAAGCTCGCCAAATTCCTCCGATCGTTCACCGCTGCAGTGTGAAACGAGGTCTGATGTTTTCTGTGATACTCGTATTTTTTCGAACAGGGGATGGAAGTGCTGGTGCACCGGGGGATCTACGAAGCGGCAAAGGGCATATACGAGCAATTCTTGCCCGAGATCAAAGATCACCTTAGTCGCCACGGCGACAGGGCCAGGCTGCGGTTCTCCGGCCATTCGCTGGGGGGAAGCCTCAGCCTCCTCGTCGGCCTGATGCTGCTTGCTCGAGGCGACGTCAAGCTCCACCACCTCCTCCCTGTCGTCACGTTTGGGTCGCCGTCCGTGTTCTGCGGGGGGCAGCGGGTCCTGGAGGAGCTGGGTTTGGACGAGGGGTTCGTGCGCTCTGTGATTATGCACCGCGACATCGTGCCCAGGGCCTTCTCCTGCGACTACCCCAACCACGTTGCCCATGTCCTCAAGCGCCTCAACGGCGCGTTTCGTTCCCACCCATGCCTTAACAATCAGGTACCAGTTTCAGTGCTTTGATTTGGTTCATACGATTCTTCATATAATCTTCTCGTTTCCATGACGTGCTTTCCTCGTTACCGGTGAAGCAGAAGGTGCTGTATTCTCCATTAGGCAAGACTTACATTCTCCAACCTGATGACCAGTCCTCGCCTTTCCACCCTATGCTGCCACCGGAAGCTGCTCTCTACGTGCTGGACGGGAAGAACATCGCCGGGAGTTCATCCAGAGCCACAACCAAGAGCGCGCTGCGAGCATTCGTCAACTCGCCGCATCCGCTGGAGACCCTGAGCGACCCCAGGGCGTACGGCTCGGAAGGCACCATCCTCCGTGACCACGACTGCAGCAATTACGTGAAGGCCCTCAACGCCTTGCTGAGACAGCACACCAAGTCGGTGAGGCGGAGGTCGAGGAAGCAGCAGTTCAACCAAAGGTGGCCGCTCGTCGCCGGCCCTGGAACCGGACTGCTACCTTCTCACCCATGCGGAAGCCACCGGAATCCACTCCTGGAGACGCCTGCATTGGTTACAAACGAATTGTCTACTGGAGTTTGAGGAGACTGCTAAGAATGCCGACGCATCGACGGAACTGGGAACGTGGTGGTGTTGCATGGAACACAACTAATTAGTGGTGTTGCATGGAACACAACTCATTGTCTACTTTGACCCACATGTTCAGTCAATGGAAATAACTGTAAATTATTTGCGGTCGCATTGCCTAACGGAATCAGCAAGCTTATCTTTCTTGATATAGACTAGGTTTATGACTTGGTCAAAATATGGCCTGTTCGCTACTGGGTCTGCGCGGCCCACAAGGGGCTTACCCACGTTAATCTTTCTATTTGGGAATTTGACTCTCCTTTGTTAGCAATTGGTTCCCGAGAAAGCAAAATTGCAAGACGAAGGCCGGTATCGGCCGCCCCAGTAGACGACGGAGAGATGTCGACCAGGAGGCGGGACCGGCGCAACCCTGGCGGTCCGACTCCGACAGCCCCACGTCCAGCGGCCACAACCGCGGCCACCTCCAGATCTCATCACCCTCTATTCTCCACGCCGCTCCTCCCGCTCGCCCTCTTCGCCCTCGCTGCGATCGTGCTCCTCCTCATCATGTACCGAGGCGGCAAGACTGGCCTGCCGGAAGCCACGTCGCTAGCCCTCTCCGTATACGAGAGGGGCCTCGTAAAGCCCAACGTCGCATTCCAAGAAATCCTTGCCGTAAGCACTTCTCTTTTCTAAAATCGGCGGCTTTCTCTTTCTTTTTTCTAACCCTTTCTCTTGTTTCTCTCTTCCTTCATCCTCATTGTTGTGGTGCAGGAGAACTCGCGGTTTTCAGAGAACCGATCGAGACGCCATTTCCCGAATCCGGTGCTGGCGTATATAACTCCTTGGTACGATTGCAATTTCCTCCTTGGCACGATCCGGTGGATCAAACGTCCTACTAATTTGATCATCTAGACTACCAATCTGAACCTTTTTCCATTTTGCTGTTGATAATACAAGAATGAGATATGCTTGTCGTTGCACAACTCAAAGTCAAACATTTGTCCTTCGATTTGTTTCAAACTTGGTATCTTTCCTGAGACAAGCATGAATCTTTTGGAGGGTTCACACTCCAAAATGTTTAATCTCTTAGCTTCATATGCCAACCCATCCAACCGGATAGAATGACCCTTGTTTTTAAAATTGGAAGCTTTGTTTCATCCACTTAAATCTTGTAATCCCAATCCACCTTGAGCAAACTGTCTGCTCACTAGTTCCAAGAAACTAGACTTGTTGTTCTTTCCTTTTTCTTGTTTTCCTTATACCAATCCATAAAGATTTTCTAAAGTATAGCTTTTATTGTATTAATGTGTCTTTTAGGTTGGATAGATATGCTTTTCTGTAAATAGATTTAATCAATTTAAGTCTGTCTGGATAAGGTATGAATCTATGAAAATTTGAACTCTAGCAGTTCTAGGGTTGTAAATATGAAAAAGGCTGTAATATCTCTAGCTATTTTTTTAATTTCATCTTGAGTGAGCTCTTTGATTTTCTTTTCAGAAATAGAACCATCTTCTAAGTTATTTCTGTTGGCAACAAACTTTTAAATAATTAATGCAACTGAATATGCTCCACACCCAAGTTATCATTTGTGTGGATGTGATCTGGGAAATGATTATGCAGTATCCTGCTACAAGAAACTTTTTCTTGGCAAGTTCTTGGAATTTTTTAGTGCTCCTTACTGTTTGATAAATACAGTATTCTCTAAACTTATTTTCAACTTATGCTGAAATTCTCATGTCATCCTCACTGAACTGTGGCTGTGGAAATTACTGAATTTGCTTTTGTTTAACTGTGTATTTTTTTGTGTGTCTTCTCACAGAATTTAGATCATCACGTATTATGGTTCAAGCATATTGCAGGAATTCAAGGGGATACGAAAAGGCGAAGCTGTTTAGTTCCAGATTAACACATCTATCACCTGTGTGGTATGAGTTGAAGAGGTACATAAAATCTGGTGAAACAAATAATCGGCCTTTGTCGCAGTTAAAGTCTTTTTTACCTTAATATTATATCTTTCTGTCAGTGAAGGCAAGAGGCTAGTTTTAGAAGGACGGCATAATGCTGACAGGGAGTGGATCTCAAAGATTCGGACTAGTGGAAATTCTCTGGTAATTAGATAAACTGAGTTCCTATCTGACATCTAAGAAGAGAGCTGGTGGCCAAGTAACTGTTCTGTAGTTGTGTTATATTAAAAATCAAAATATTAAGGTTAGATGCATCTTCTGTAGATCATTTCTACCAACTTTACAATCGTATCTCTGATTTCAAGGTTCTTACTAAATTTCATCTTGATAAACATCTTAAATATTATACCCCACAAAGGCTCATAAACCATGAAAGGTTACCTAATGTCAGTTGTTCTACTTGTTTGAAGTAGCACCAACATGTACCATTGACAGTGATAGTTTCGTGAGTTTTCTATATTCTTTTAAACAATAATGCTGACATCACAGGAAATTTCTAGCTGCAGGGCAGAATCCAAAGTATTCTTACCAATAGTTCGATATTTGTGCCAGTGTGGTTTCTCCCATTTGATGGCTTGTGCTACCCAATCCATGAATAAAAGGATACTGAAATTAAAATTAAGAATGGTTATTTAATGAAGCAATATGATGTGCCTTGTTGTGAAATGAAGAGTCTTGATCAGGTTTTTTATATTTTATACTGCTGTACCATATTTGGTCTATAAGATGTGTTCTTTTCAGGTTACTACATTTCTCCAGTTCATATTTTAATTTTGTCTGTGGTGTTTGAAAAAACTTGTGAAAACAGAGACTTCTTTGAATGTGATCTAGGGACAAAGGCATAGGAGAGGCATTGCAGATAATGTTGTGCTTTTACCTTTATATTTTATTGTGGCCATTTTTTTTTGGGGTCTAATTGTGATATTCAGGCTGTCAAAAAATGGTAATCTGGTGACTGTATTTGATGTCTTGTAGGTATTACCCAGAGTTGTCTTGGAAGCATTTCCTGTGGACCTACTTCTAAAGAAGAAGTGGAGTAAGGCAATTGATATCATAATAAAAGAATGCAAGTAAGTGGTATCCAAAAAATTTTGATTCTTCAGTTTATCTGCATTTATGCAAGTATCTGTATGAATACTTCTTTTCAGTTTAACATTTACTTGTTAGCGAACAGGGACATGGGATATGATGGTATTGTTCTGGAATCCTGGTCAAGATGGGCAGCCTATGGTATCTTGCATGATCCGGACATGCGTAATATGGTTAGTTCCTTCTCTGATGAATTTATGGTAGCTTTATTTTGTTATTGGGTTTCACTAAAAGTTGGTAACTTATAAATTAAGTTTGATATACTGCTTTCTTGTAGCTATTTCTTACTGTGTGCACCAGTCAAGGAGATCACTGTTTAAATAAGTTGATTGTTTCTTCATCGAACTTATTTTTTACATCTTCATAGATAAGTAATATTGTTTTAGATTTTGCTCCTCTCTTCCGCCATCAAAAGTGAACTCACCATTGGTTGTTTCTTAGGAAGCTTCATTTTCTATCATGATCCTAGCCTGGTTGGCCAATGGTTATGGTAAGATGTGTCTACATTTGTAGGATATTCTCTCTACATCTTATTTTCTCAAGCTTTTACACAATTAAGATCTCTAATTTACATATAATTTAGATCTTTGATGATTTTCTTTAATAATCATCTTCCAATATATCTGATAAACTAGAGTTAGGAATCTTATTATTTCCAGTTGAGGGTGAGATTTAGTATCTTAATAGTTTTCTTCATGCAATAATTGCTTGGACATAATAACTTATGCAACTTTAACATCTTATATTTCCATCTGGTTGCATGAATGTGATCGCATGTTTGCATGCATGCTAAATGTTATTTGTTATTCTATTTTCTACTAGGAGCACTATTTAATTGTTACAAGAACCACCTTCAGTACTAAACTAAGGACAATTAAGATGTGTGCAAGAACCTTCCTTTTTAAGAAGGATGCAGCATTCAAGGTTGTCTGGATTACAATATTCTACAATGTTGTTGCACTTAACGCTGTATTTAATCAATAATCCAGCACATTTACATGCTTGTTAAAATGGGTTTGAGACTTCCTGATTCTAATAGAGCCCTTTAAGAAGTCCAGTATATGAGTAATGATTCAGAATACTACCTTTTGTTTATTTATAAGTATTGTTATACTGACAGATGGAACAAAATAAATCCTAGGACTATATTCTCTCTGTCATGGTTGCAGACAGTTTAAGAAAAGTTTGTTTTTTAATTATACATTGACTCTCCCGAGAACCCCGCATTGACGGGAACCTTGTGCACTGGCTTGGTATGTTTTTTTTTATTATATGGCTAAGTATGATAAAGTTCTGGGCATTGAACAAAAAGGATACTTGTCTTACATCCTGAAGGTACCATAGCGGAAAGTTTGTGAAGATTTGCCATGTGGAGTTGTAATTTATAGCATGTAAGAAAGAAGCAAAATGGTCCTCCAGTACAGATGAAAGAGTTGTGTGAGTTCTCCCACTACACTCCTTTCAATCATTACATTTCAAGTTTTGGTGCTTGTGAGCCTATAATAGGTCTAAATACCTCTTGATGGGCATCTATGCCTATGGTTAGGAGGCTGAATATGAGCATGCACAAGTTACATTAGTTTGTTTATCTTCGTACTAAATGGATCCTACTCATTACCCTGTTGCACCTTATCTGAATAGGAAGGACGTTTTCTTAACATTTGGTAGTCTCAATAAATTACATCATTTTAATGCATTCTGCACCAATATGATTTAAGGTTTTTTTTAATATTTAATGAAATAATCATTCTTCAGATCTGCCCTTCTTTGGTCTACAGGGATTGGACTTTATCAAAGAGCTCGGTAAGGCTCTCCATTCTCTGACGTCAGTGGAAAGTGATAATCATCCATTGGAGTTGATCTATGTAATCCCAGCCCCACGTTCACAAAAGCTTGATGAATATGATTTTGGACCACAAGATCTGCAACAACTTTGTGATGCTGTAGATGGTTTTTCTCTTATGACCTATGATTTTTCAGGACCTCAAAGTCCTGGTCCGAATGCTCCTCTCAGCTGGATACGCTCTTCATTGAGTATGCTTCTTGGTGATACCAACACTGGTGCTCACAGCCATGCGCACAAGATCTTGCTTGGTCTGAACTTTTATGGGAATGATTTCCTTGTTTCCGAAGGTATGTGCTGCTTCAAGAAAGTTGAGAGTTACAATTGAATCAGACATTGAATTCCATTCTAGTTATGCTCTCATGTTGAGAAATTAATTCTTTCTATGTGCACATCCCAATATGTTGTATACATACAAAATTTCCAATGACTATATTTGGTAATCCATCTTGAACTAGGCACTAGTCTTTATACTTCACTACTGCATGCTGGATCCTATACTTATTTAATTAACCTATATATATATATATATATATATATATATATATATAGGTTAATTAACCTGAATCCATGGAATGGTTAAGGCAGTTTACTGACATTTCCTGTGTCTTGTCTGTAATATTAATAGGAGACTGAACAGCTTGTCTCACACTCTTGAGCCTTTCCATCTTTGGTTTTCAGTGTTATAAGCCGGGACTACCTACATCTTATCTCCTGTTTTGTAGGACCCTTATCATTTTGGTAACTGCCAACATGTTTTAGAATGCAGCATGCTGAAGTTTGCAATGCCCATTCCCATGCATGTTAAAAGTTTGTGAATGCTTTGAATGACTCTTGTTAAATTGTATCCAAATCATTGACTTGCACTGGTTTTTTCTGTCATGACTTGTAGGTTCAGGTGGTGGAGCTATAACTGGTACAGACTACATTTCCTTGCTGGAGAAACACAGGCCAGTGATTCGCTGGGACAACACAAGTGGTGAGCATTTCTTCATCTACTCCCATAACAATGCAAGACATGGCGTGTTTTATCCCTCGCTGCTGTCGCTTTCTATGCGTCTGGATGAAGCACGAGTTTGGGGAGCCGGCCTATCAATTTGGGAAATCGGACAAGGCTTAGACTACTTTTTTGATCTTTTGTAACATGTGCCCTGTTTTGAGACTTTCGGTCCATACAACATAACCGGTGCCACTTATTCTGGCTGCTTGCTTGTGTTTTTGCTGTAGCTGTTGATGATGGATCTATTTATACCGATGGATTCTCCAAGTATGAAATCCATGTCAATATCTTTAATCAGTGAGGTAAATTCCATTGTCATCCATGTTGCATACAATGTTTCTCTTGTAGTTCAATTTATTTAAGCAATCAGGAGGGTTTTTCTCTATTGTTTGTGTCAGTATGAGGAATTCAATTCTATCTAAAAGTGTGCGTTGGAATGTCAACTGCACTGTTTTGCTAAGTTGCTATGGGAGCGCCGCTTATCTGAAAACAGCAGTATGGATTGGACAAACGTGCAAGAAGAACATTCCTCACATGATATCAAGCTGTTCCTGATTTCTAATAGAAAAATGTACTGTCCTCTTGCATCCTTTACATTACTCGAAACGACTTGCTATTATCCATTATTATTATTATTTTTAATTTATATTCATTAAAACAAGTTTTTTTTTTATCATGTAAAATTTATATTTCATGTTCTGAAATTATTTTTTAATTCAATAGTACCTTTTTTTCCTTAATTAAATAATAATGCTTAAGTAATACAGTAAAATTATTCCTTAGACGACTTATATGTTCTCGAGTCCCACATTGCCATGGAATCATGGAGGTGGTTCGAATGTGATTTCAAATGCGCGGCCAGCGAGCTTCATCTCTCACCAGGGAAACTTTTCTTTCATTGATGCAGTCCACGGAACGATGAGAAGTAGGCAGAGGTGGTCGGTGGGGAGCGGTTCGGACGATGCCAACATGCCATGTCATGGCCTTCAAGAAAGGAAAAGAGCAGTACACCCCCAAAACGTACACAGCAGCAGCTCGTGTTGAATCAGTCCAACGCCACCCTCCGCTGTCTCCTCCGCTTCTTCTCCTCGAAACATTCACCGTGGGTCATGATCCAGAACCTCTCAATCTCCTCCGGCGTCCTTCCTGGGACTCGACCTGCTATGAGCGCCCACCTGCAGCGCACCGCAACGAGGTTTGCCGGATCAGAAAGGGCGGAATCTAACCATGCATGTGACGCATTATTGAGCACACCGCTGCTCCTTTGAAGAGGCATGCAATCTTTTCATGCAGTCTCCTACTCCCACTGACCAAACATGATTTATTTTCTCTGATATATATAAGCTTGATCATAGTTCTACGATGGTGTCACAATATATATATATATATATATATATATATATATATATAATGATTACATTGCAATTAGATTCTTGTTGGTAGATGTTTAAGCTGGTTAATGGGTGCATGGCAAGCAAGAACATGGAGAAAGATGGTGTACTCGGCAGTGCGCACACAGTTTCTATTCCTTTTTCTCCTGAAAGAAACCATGAATTAAACTTACCTGTCGCCGACGATCCTATACATCCTGTAGATGAGGTCTTCCTCTTCCTCCGACATGTCGATGAACTCCCACTCCTTGCTACTGACATCTGCAGATCAAGAACAAGCGTGAGTGCATAAGACAGCAAGCGAGAGCAAGAAGAATGAGCACGAGAATGAGACCTTGCAATTCATCATCATGGCTGGTGATCTCCGGCTGCATCCTGCACCTACGCTTACCCATAGAAAGATGGGGAAGCACTGCGAGAAGACGGAGAAAGCAAGATGCTACTAAGAGGTGGGGAAGGGGGAGTTAAAAGTAGCTGCAGTCCCAGGCCATGCTTTGAGTCCTTCACCTTATCGTGCTTCAGTGTTCACTGCTGATTAGGGTACAGTCCTTCACCTTAGACGATAAGACCCCTATGCACCTAAGTAGGACCACCATGGAGTGCATTACAGCTAATCTACCTTGACGACTCATTGTGTTGGCGCTTCTTCAGCGCTACTTACCTCATCTGCGTCTTTAAACTCCTTGTACCATCTCCTTCTTCTTCTTCTTCTTCTTCTCTCCTTCCCCGTCACGTGTCTCGTGAAAGCTTTAACTCTGTGCATGCAGTCCTCGGTTCGAGAGATCGAGTCAGATAAGCTGTAGCGTTCGAAGTATGTCCATCAATGAAGAACAGGCAGTGAAACGGTAAAAGAAGAGAGATCACACCATCTCAGCAAAGAAAAACAACCGAGAAATCACATCTCCATACACGACGACAACAATTCATACACACGTTTTACACGTTCGGTCTGCATCCGCCATGGCGAAGCTTAAACGCACCGTAAAAGCTGCAGTGCTTCGACTACAAGCACGTATAGATTAGTGCAGCATGTCAGCTTCAGATCGGGGAATCTCTCTAAATAATTTGATATCGGTTACATACATCATGCAGAATCTGGTGGTTCCATCTCCCAACTCGCTTTAAAGAAAGGTTGAAGCCAACATGAGAACAAGACAGTCTCCGACCAGTGATCAACTGTTCCACGTAACGTCGTATGCGTCCGACTTTTCTCTGTATTGGACCTCCAGACAGTAGCTGATGAGGAAGTACTGATGTTCTTGTCCCTCTTTTACGATCGTACAAAGAGCATATCTTCCCCGAACAAATTTGAAGAAGAAAGTTAGATGTAAAACCACATCAAAGTGGTGTCCATCTCTTGCAACCTAACCTAGTAATCCTACTTTTTAACTTTCACAAATTAATTGTTTCGAGGAACACTTGGCCCAGTCAGAGAGAGCAGATGGACCAGAGAGTGGAATCCCCTCTCATTGGCTTGGAATCTTCAACGTCTTCTTCCCCCATCGCATGGCATTTGAATTATTCTTTCACGATAGGGAAGAAAGATAAGGTTGTATCATCGTTGATGAGGTCAAAGAGACCATGAAGCTTTTGGGTCATTTCTTAAGGTAAATGGTATCCTGATGTCGGCTGTGGTGTTTCTTTGACCTCTTCTCCTCGTCTGAGTTCTTGAGATTGTAACTGCACAAACTTAGCTTAAGAAGTTGGGCTAACACTAGATAAGGATGTCAAGATTTCACTGTCGTTGAAGCATTGGCTAAGAAGAACAAGAAGAAGAAGAAGAAGGAAAAGGATCGCGTTCACACGACAAAGTAAATACCTAATCTATCCGACTTTCTAGAATTTATATTTTCCGAAGACCAGAAGTCCACGTTGACTCGCTTTGACTGAATTAGAACGATCCGGTCTAATTCTGCAGCATTTAGTCTAATTGTTAGACTGATGTGATGGAGACATTAGTAGCATTACAATCTTCTTCTTCTTCTTTCTTTTCAACTCCAAGATTCTTGAAGTTTGCTTCCATGAAAGACCAAACGCATCCGCAATTATGGTCATAGTTAAATTACTCTACAAACACTCATGCATTGAATGCATCCCATCGTCTCAAGAACTGTCACAAGTAGTATCACAATCGTCGTGCTGTTTGGGCCCGATAAAGTTCTTCATTTTCCTGAAGAACATGACAAACCAAATCCAAGTGGTGGCGCGGAACACTCGTGAAGGAAGAGTAGGTTTCTTGATCTTGCTTTCCCATGTTTTCTCCAAGTTTTCTTTGGCGTCACTCGGTACCGAAAGGAGAGGCAAAAGCGGAGGGCCTAATCAGATGAATCAGATTCCCATGATGTGTTAAACCTCACTATCGATCCCTTCCATGGCTATCTACATGACTTCATCTCCGGAGATCTTATCTTGAGGAAAGTGGTGACGATGTTTAGGTGTTTGGAAGCGGACAAAGGATGACACTGATCGTGAGGTTGGTGGCTACATCATGATAGATTATTTGATCTTATTTAATTATATAAAATATATTATAATTTTATTTAGAAATTTATTATTATTAATTAATAAAAAAATCTATTTTATTATGATTCCTTTTACGAGAGGAACTCTTCTATTTTCTTATCTTAGATCCTTTGTTTTCATCTATAAATATCATTCGGACCTTATACGGGAGATTTATTCTCAACCTCACTAAATCCCTATTCTATTGTTTATAATAGTCATGTAAATGATAGAAAGAAAGGAGAAGGCGAGTCTAGTTCTTATTACATATTGATATCGATAGATTTACAAATCAGATAAAAGTTTTCTGAATAACATCAAAATGTACACAATCTTCATATTGATATATTGTTATTTGACTTCGATTCTGGCATTAAGATTTCTCGACATAATAGTAACATAATTACAGTTGTATACTTTCGATCAGTATAGAGTCTGTTTTGAAATCAAATATCTCTTATCATAAAAAAAAAATAGATTTATTTTATGTTATCACCCTTTACATGCGAAAGGTGATTCGATCCATTTAGTTCATAAAAGTATTATATCTATTTTGTGTTATCATTCTTTGCATGGGAAGGGTGATTTGATCTATTTAGTTTATCATACCACCTTAGTCACCTGCTTATGAGCGATGAAAGTTTTTCACCCATACGAATGAAATCACAAATGGGTTGTAATCTACATCTTGCTGTCAGCTACAATATTACGAAGGGCGATGGGCCGCTATAATCAACAGCGAACGTTAGTGCAACATTGGTTTTGGCCACTCATGGGTTGAGGGGTGATGGTATGAAAGAGTTATCACAACAAGGCATCACGACAAGAAGGAATGGCCACAACAATGGAACTAGGCAAAGGCATTTGGTGGACGATGATCATCGACAACGAGCAATGTTGATATGGATCACAATAGGGTTAATGGTATTATCGTTAGTTGCATGGCTTGTGAAGGTGGTCATCGAGCGGAGGGTGAACCGAGCCTACCATAAGAAGTAGCATTGTTACCTTTGATCGGTGGTTGCATAATAGACACGCCATAGTTCATAGAGGCTACGGCGACATTGCTAACTATAGCCAGGGTTAATAGATTGTCAATTGGCCATAGAAGTAGTTCAGGTATGTGATGCATAGACGATGGACGACTACGCATAACAAAAGTAGTGCAGGTGGCGGCAACACATCACTAATCGATAGCATAAGAATGGCCGCACACCGTGGTAGCCACATGCCTTGTGCACATTGTGACGACTAAGAAGAAAAAAATATTATGGTTTTTTATCATTAAAAAATTATTTTATCCTTATGAATCCTTTTAATTTCAATTGGTGTCCCTTGGAAAATCAAATATTTTTAACTTATGTCCTCAACTATAAAATCAACTATTTTATCCTGCTTTAATCAAATATTTTGACCAAACTTGATTCTAACTATATTTTGACTTGATTGAATTTAGATTCGATCAATCTCGTTTGACTAAATATGAAAAAGTTAATTTTTGACTTTGGTCAACATTAATTTTGACTAATCTATTGGGTTGACGTCTAATACCCAATTTAAGAAAGTTGATTGTCTAATTTAAGGTTCTATATAAAATTAAAAAAAATATAAATTATATATTTTTATATTTTCTCATATAAAATATTGATAAAATTTTATTATTTATGATATTTAAATTTTAATTATTATTTTAGATATTTGTTTAGTTATTCATATGCATGTATGTAAAATTATGAAATAATATTTATTTTTATACAAAGGTATGATTTATATTTTATCATGATTACAATCATCATATAAGGTTTTTTATGTTGATTAATATTTAATTATTATTAAAATTATTATTTTATTTCTATATAAATTAGATTAAAAATATTTAATGAATATTATTTGTCATATATATATATATATATCTATAAGTTTCATCTATAGCTGTCAAAGTAACAAGATGGTAGGCTTATAAGGTATGATATTTTATCATTTATATGATATTTTAAATTATATTTTATAGTATTATATTAGTCTTGTAGTCATCAAAATGATCTAGACAAATAACCTATAAGATTATATTAAAAAATTAATTCTAAATTATAACAAAAAAATAATATTCATAATGACAAACATGATTAAGAGATTTATATAATCTAAAAAAAAATATTTTGAATAATTATGTGATAAGATAGTATGATACTATTTTGGTTATCCTTACGGCTTAGAGTTATATACTCAAAGATAGTAATATTATTCCACAAGGATGATATTATTCCTCTATAAATAATTCAAAGTGAACACTTATATTTCAATATTTCATCCAAAGATAAAATATAAATAATATCAATAGTTAATTATATTTTGAAAACTTAAAGTATTAATATTATTTTATATTTTACAATGATACTTTCTTTCATATATTCTTATACTTCTAGTGTCTTTATACTCTCTAGTTTAATTTGTTCAAAATGATTAGAGCATGTGCAGTTCACATGGGATATATTAGATATTGATCTAGTATTGCTTGTTAAAATATTCATAGACTTAAATGATGAAAGTACTGAAGAATAAATTAATAAAATGAATACTTAGGAAAAACTTAATAGACTCAATCTAATGTTTATAAGAATAACAATTACAAATAATATTAAGACTTCATTACAACCTGCAACTAATACATAAGAATATTTAAAAGGAAGACATATTTAAATCTACTGATAGGTGATTGACTAACATATTAATGAAAGACCTAACTCGGTAAGATAGCACTTTAAGGATTCAGGATCTCATTCTCAATATGATTGAGAAGGCTACAAAACCTAAAGTATTATGCATGGATGTCGATAAAATTTTTTTTATCATATAGTTTATTCTTAATTCTCTTCCTTCTCAATTTAATATATTCAATATTTACTATAATATAAATAATGATAAATGAGACTTGGATAAACTAATTAGTATATATGTTCAAGAATAATTAAGATTAAAATAGAAAAAGATCTTATAATATTTTTTACTATTACTCAAGGTGTTGGTAATAAAAAGAGAAAGTTCAAGCTTTATCCACCAAATAAATTTGTTGGGTCTAGAAATGTTAAGCAGACTAATAAAAAGAAAGTATTTATAATAAATACTCTTTTGTGACAAAAAAAGACACACAAAAAGAATTATGTTAAACACTAGATATGATTCAAAAAGAAATATTCAAACTTCACTTTTGTATATTTTGAATTAAACACTACATAGGTTCCTTCTAACAGTTAATGGATTAATTTTGGTACTTTAACTTATATTAGCAATAATATATATAGATTTTCTTTAACCCAATAATATGACAAATTTGTTATTATGAGGAAATGTCTCAAAGTAAAAGTAATAATAGTGGAAACTTATTGTCTACACCTAGAGATGAGTCATCTAATAGATCTTGTGGACATGCTATGTTTTTACTATTTTATAATGGTAATGATATTATATTTTTTTATAATGGTAAACTCAATGTATTTTATGACTAAATAAAAATTGATTTTAGAATTTTGTATGATGATTTATATAGAATTAATTTAAATCTTAAGCTTACAAAGATATTAGTGACCCTACAATTAAATATTAGTTTGAAATACAATTTTATTAATGAGAAAACTTCTATATTGTGATTCAGACATTTATGGCATATCTCTAAGAAAAGAATTAAAAGATTAGTTAAAGATAACATTTTAAAAATTTTGGACTTCATTGATCTTGATATTTGAATAAATTACATTAATAGAAAACAAACTTAGCATACAAAAATGTCATAAGAAGTAAAAAGCTCATTGAGATTATTTATATTGACATCTGTAGACCACTTTACATTTTATGTTTCAATGGAGAGAGTGATTTTATCATATTTGTGACTATATGTATCTAATACATTAAAAGTCTCAAACTGTTGACACTCTTAGTGTATATAAATGAAATAGATAAATAATTAGATAAAAAATTAAAATTATCATATCTAACATGAGTGATAAATTTCATAACAAATATAATAAGTCATATTAGAATCCTGATTTATCTATGCTTCAGTCAATATGGGGTGAAGCTCTTAAGATAACTATGTATGTCTTAAATAAGATTCCTATTAAGTCTTTATTTTATTAATATTATATATAGATGATATTTAGCTTGCTAGAAATAATCTTGATTTACTACATAAAACCAAGATATTTTTTACTAAGAATTTTAAGGTGATTGACATGAATGAGACAACCTATATTATTGACATTTTAGATATTTAGGGATAACTTTCAAAGATTGCTAAGACTATCTTAAAGAGGATATATTAACCAAGTATTTGAGAGATTTAGTATATTATTTGCTCAACTAATGATACACTTATTACCAAAGATTACAATTTTAGTCAAAAATAGTATACCAATAATGACTTAGAAAAAAAATAAATTAAGGATATTTCTTATACATGCGCAATTAGAAGTCAAATATATGTGCAAACCTATACGAGATTATATATCAGTTTTACAGTAAGAATCATGGGTAGATACTAGAGCAAGCTACAAATAAAATGATGAGATATTTGAAGGAGATGAAATACTTTATGCTCGCATACAGAAGTTTATATCAGCTTGAAGTAACATGATATTCAGATGTTAATTTTATGAATTGTCTTGATAATATGATAATATGAAGTTCATTTAAAGATTCATATTCATGTTAGTAAAAGGTATAATTTTCTAAAAAAAGTTAAAGCAATCACTTATTAATAATAGAAGTTAAATTTATGATATGTTTTCATGTCACAAATCAAATTTTATGACAGTAGAATTTCATTTTAAATCTTGATTTATTACATAAAATCAAGTCATAGAAAATATTTTGTGATGACACCATAATAATTTTTTTTATCTAAAAATTATAAGTATTCTAGTGGTTACAAGCATGTTAAGATAAATATTAATAAAAAATATTATACCATAATACTATTAATGGTTGTATTATAGATTTAATTATATTTTGATTATGATTATCGATCAATAAAAAATAAATCTACTTTGGTAAAATTCCTTAGGAGAGACTCTCTTACTTTCTTATTCTAGACTCCTATGCTCTCATCTATAAGGACCTCCTAAGGACTATACACGATATTAGAACTATTTTCAATCTCCATAAGTCTCCTATAATGATATTATAAAAAATAAAACAAGAAAAACCTAAAATTTAATTCTATGTAATAATCGATATCGTTAAAACTTCTAAATTTGATGACAATCCATTTACAAATCAAATAAAAATTCTTAAAATAATATCAAAAGATACTTAATCCTAATTTTGATTGATCATTATTTGATTATGATTTCGATATTAACTTTTTTTATTATAATAATATAAATATAATTTTTATACTAAGCATGTCAGGTCGCTGAGATCAGCGTCGGCCCGTTTCACACGATGACGCGTAAGAGGGTTGAAGGTTCTTGCTGAATTCCATGCAGCTTCCCCACCTTCAGGTTTCTTTATTCTATGCCCTGAACTGACTGTGAACAAATCGTCAAACGTCCAGATCAATCAACCTCGAATCGTTCTTCTTCCCAATGACCAGTCTTAGATATGACTTGGGATAGACAGACGATGCAGCAGAAGAGTATTAAAAATGGAGGTCAATTTTCCAAGTCAAGCTTTCCCTTTCTCCTTGGAGGCTCTAATGCTAACGCGTTATACGAGGCGTTCCTATAAAGCAGCTCCCTTTGGTTCTTCCTCCCCCAAGCAACTCCCTCCCACCTTCCCTTCTCTTCATCCCACTTACATCCCCACTCTTCACCTTCTCTTCATCCCACTTACATCCCCACTCTTCACCTTCTCTTGCCTTTCCATTCCTTTCCCGGTGGTATCAAGCTGAAAGCTCGGTTTGAATGCCGGACATGGAGAAAGGCAAAGCAAGCGAACAACCAGGGCTTCTGCTGGCTGAGCTAGCTCGAGTGCAGGAGCTGGCGAGAGAGATGGAAGCTGAACATGGCCGGCACTCTACAGATGAATTCCGCAGATCGCTGCTGCACGAATTGCTCGTGTCGATCGAGAAGGCCATTTGCATGGCCAAGTCTACCGCACCGGACGTCAACCCGCAGCCTGCGGATGGAGACTCTCCGCGCTCCTCCGGCGAGAGCTCCCGGAGCGAGACATCCAAGCTGACCTTCAGGGAGCAGATGTCCAAGAAGAGGTAGGAGGAGTTGGCAGAAGTGCGAGATCGTTGTTCTCTTGGATCGTTGATGTGGTTTCACCGACTCTGCAGGAAGAAACTGCCCAGGTGGACCAGGGAGGTGCGAGTGAGCTCAGGCGCCGGCGGCGGGGTCCATGGCCCTGTCGATGACGGCTATAGCTGGAGGAAGTACGGCCAAAAGGATATCCTCGGGTCCAAACATCCAAGGTCAGCAGCTGTTCTTCGTATCAGCTTGTGCTGATCCGAAGATTCACATACTGATGGAAGGTCGAAATGTTTCTTGTTACAGAGGCTACTACAGGTGCACACATCGCATCATGCAGGGTTGCCCGGCGACGAAGCAAGTGCAGCGATCAGACGAGGACCCGCTGCTGTTTCATGTGACCTATCATGGGGCGCACACCTGCCTTCCGAAGAGCCCTGCGGCACCAGCATCAGCATCAGCATGGCTGTCGCAGGAGCAGCAACAGCAGGAAGAGAAGGAGCCCGTGGATCGGCAGCAGCAGAACCAAGACTTGCTTTTGAGATTCCAAACGGGGCTCCGAGTGAAGACGGAAGACTTGGAGTTGGGCGGCCATGGCCAGAACTCGCTTTCCTTCTCCTTCGCGTCGCCTTCCACGACGACCGACAGTGGCTTCATTAGCAGAGCCTCGCCTGCCTTCCTCTCCCCAACATCAGACTCGACCTACTTCTCGTTCTCGCCATACAGCTTGAAAGGAGGAGGAATCAAGCTTCGGAGCCCTGAGTCTGGCATCACAGGAGCTAATTCAGCTTCAGATTCACCTGCTGCTGCGGACATGGATTTAATGCTCGAAGAGCTAGACTTCGAATCGGACTTCTCCAGCTTCTTCTCATGAAACAACACTCAGATGAATCCAAGCCTGGAGAGGAGGAATGAGCACGACTGGTGTTCCCCACCGGGCCAAGTGATGGTTTAGCTGGAAGCTGAACAAATCCCCTGCAATTTCACTGTCCTCTTCCTCATCTATCAAGCGTCTTTCTCTGACAGACTGCTTGGCAGCTAATGTTAGGATCATATGTACACAGAATTATCAATGAATAATGCTTGCATTTGGCAAATTTTAATCCATTTTGCATGAAGAAATTGCAATAAGGAATTGCATGAGTGATCAAACTCTTGATAAGATTTATGAAGGTGAGTGAGGCCACAGCAACTACATGTCATAGACTCCTACCACCAAAAGTTTTGGATGGTTTTGGTGCCTACAAGCAGTGAAAGTTATAAGCATGGATATTGACAAGTAGCAACACTGGAAGTAGACATCGACACACACCAATCTTTCAAAACCTAACAGTCCATGTTCACAGAAAGTTGCTCGAGTGCACAAAGTCACGAAGATATTCTTTTTTTGCTTTATAAGGATTTATTTTATGTATAATATTTTTGTGACTTAGATCATGTGTTAGGTTATCTTCATATATATACACAAAAACAAAATCCAACTGGTGTGCTCTTGTAATGCGGAGATCTATAGATCATGGCTTAAGCAACGTGTTTATCTGCTCAATGAAGGCAATCTATAGAGGCAGTATTCCAGCTAATCAAAGCATGCATTATTGAAGACTGCAGGTAGTGTAATCTAATTGCAAGGCGAACAATTACAACAAATCCAAACATATACTGTCTGACACAAGAAACATTCATCAGGGCGACATGTTTCTTATTAGAACCCTTCCAACACCAAGGCAAACTAATGAATCATAAAGATAAGGTTTGGTTCTACAATAATAATTTTTTATTTTGTACCGTGTATTTAGCACTGTGTTTCTTTGCAAAACATGTACCGTATTTGAAGGTGTTATTTTGATCCAAATTCTAAGAATATATTGTTCCTGCCAAATCAAAACAATAGTGAAGGATGAAGATTGATGCTGTAATGTCATTATGTATTTCAATATTAGAGAATGAAAATGGAGTACCTAGGAATGATCAAAACATGAGAGTTACAAAAAAGAAACAATCGCCAATGACATTATGTCCATCATGAAAAAGTGCAATGGAGAAAACATGAACCGAAAAATCATGTAACGATATCTACTAAAGAATTACCTCTATATTTTTGTCATTCAACAGTTTATGGAGCTTGCTCACATTTACAAGTGTTCCAAGGAATTGAAGCAACAAATGAATGCCACTAGCTTGCTAATCACCTCAAAACCTTCATACCAAATCCCCGTCTCATTTTCTCAACTCTGTCCAATACATATATATCTTCAGCAATGAGGTAATTCAATATAAGTATCAGAACAACTACTGGAATTTTAAGATGTAGTATCATTTCTCCTAGCAATTGCAAGTGTTGATATGCTTTATTGAAGAATGTGAGAATATTTAATAAATTGCTTGCACATAACAACCAAAGAAGAATGGAGATGAACTTTTGCAATTGCAATTTCTATAAGAGAACAGACACCTGTAAATAACAATTGAGGCACTTGTAACAAATTCAGATAAGAGTTTTTCTTAATTTTATTGTTCAACTTCATTTCTTTTTTAATAAAATTTTGCCATGATACAATCCTTCAATCAGACTGATTCAATCCGATTCCCTTTATTCCTCAGACAGTCTTATCCCGATACTGCTCCAGATTTTTCAAACCTTGGCACAAATCAAGACACATTTGACATATGGAAAATGTTTTCCTAGAAACATTAACAGTTATTTTCATAGCAAGTAACAATTTAATGTCAATGCCAGTAGTCTCCAAGGAAGCAGCAGTGCCAAACAACCTTGCATATGAAAACAAATTCCCAGGAGGCATTACATCAGTTATAGCATATAAGGACATTAATCAGTAATATATTGCTAGACTAACCTGTTTTACATGTTTGAAAAGATAATGCTTCAAATTACTTTGAAAAGATAATGTTTCACATCACGAAATATCAAGGATGCTATCTGCTACACCTTTTCTTTCTAACGAGAAGTTTATTGTGAAATTACAATACCTCGAACGTTTATGAACCATATGTTTCTCTAAGTCATTTTTATTTGTTGAGGACCAATCATCAAAATCTTACTGGAAGACCCATAGGACTTACAAAAGTTGGACTTATATTTCTTTTTTGACCAGCACTAATATTCTTATTATTAAAACATCAACAGATTATAATCCTGCCTGTGAAAGCATCCAAAAATGATGCTAGAGAGAATATCATTCAGTAATAAAAAAATGTCAATAAAAGAGTTCGGCTAAAAGAACCACAAAAAAAAAGGAAAGAAAACACTACTATTGTAAATTGGTTTTGTTGGATTATAGTATCTGAAGGAGCAAAGTTTAGATATGCTGATAAAGAATAACAAGAAATGGAAGACACAAGACAGTAACTTCATGTGACTGTAAAAATAAAGACTCACGTTGGTGCGAGCTTCCCAAGATTACCCAGCTCTTCACCTGAGACTTCATCAAAAACATTCCCTGAAAACTCAAGAACATAAGATCGACCAGCTGTAGTTGGGAGTCCTCGTCGAACCAGCAAAGCTAGGTCTTTATGATGTAGCTCTCTTCCATTAACAAGAACCCCAGTATTCCCACCAGCACAATTCTTGGATATAGGACAATTAAATTCTTGTATAAATGGCTGCAAGTTTGAGCCGAAGTTAACCCATTTATGAGTTACACAAGTTGTTGCATCAGTATGGAATCAGTTTCCCTTACCGGAATTATCCCAAGACATGGCTGCCCCATGACACCCCAAAATCCAGCACGATGATCATACCTTAATCACATGTGGCAGAAAATTAATACCGTATCTTCAGATAGATAAGGCTATTGAGAGTCACTTGATATCAGGAATCCAAACAAAAAGACTGCAAAATAATGCTAGTAACAAGATATGCAGCTAAACTACATGACTGTCAGACAAACCTCAATTCCTAGATATCATAACAATTTAATTATTGGCAAGAATCCTAAGTTTGATCAGCCTGCTTGGACTGAGACCTTTACTTAAAGTATAAAAAGTATGTTCTGCTTATATACAAAGTGGAATATCATGTTTCTCAAAATAATGGCAAGATCTTATTAAATAGCATCACACAGTAATTTGCATTGTAAGGAGGAAGAGAACGTCGATGTCTGTTGATATTATTTATCATCAACTGGTCAACAGAGAGTCTTGGCAAAGCATGAGAAATGTAAAGTGTAAGCCTTATCATACTTTATTAACTTTAACTAGTGCAATTAAACATATGGCTTCTTATATCTAACAAAATCTTGAGATTCAGAGCAAGCATTATATGCTTGATTACTTTAAGTCCTACATTTCTCTCTCGCACTAAATGCCATATAACGCATAATTAAAGGACAAATCTTATTGTCCTAGAAGATTTTACCTTTCAAAACAGCAATAAGATCATTTGTATTTTACAAGAATTAGATCTTACTGATGGCAATTTTATAAAGCCATCTCATCTAACATGAGGAGGTTACCTCTCCAACTGATACAGTGAGAGCAAACACAGTGACTAAAATTGATACAGGTATTAAGAAGTGATTATTTTAAGCATTTTCTTTTAATATGATCAATGAAAAAAAAAAATCATGATGTTCAAGTTTGATGTTGCTCTTCACCAAATAAAGCAATTGATGGAAAAAGGATTTCATTTCAATCAGAGTTTGAATATAATAGCATCTGAAATTCATGTCAGACAAGCAGATGAATTGTTTACCAATACTCTCCCGGATAAATGCGTCCAGCTTGTTTTTCAGCTTTCCTAACCAAGTGATCAACAATAGGGTGACCATTGACTGAAACTTCAGATCTTTCATCTTGCACTAGCTGACTAAAAACCAATGAATCATCACTCATGCCAATCCCAGCTTGATTTTCATATTTCTCTTTCTCCTGGTAATCCCCAGAAAAACTAGAACTGGGATATTCATGCCCTGACACATCAATCTCAGTAACCACTTCATTTTTTGCAGAGTTCTGCCGAAACTTGTCAGTGTAGGAAACTACTGTTTCCTGATCAGAATATTCACTCATGCCTCCATTTCTGGAACCATCCATTACTTGACTGGATGATGGGTGTCCAAGATGATCCTGAGCTGGTGAACCTGCAGCATCTGAAATGACTTCTGCATGAAATGGAAAATCTGTTGCGCTGGGTGTAGCTTTCTGATATGTTGCACTATCTGGGCTTTCCACGTTATCAGACGTATTGGAAGACATTGAAGGTCTCTTTGTTTTCTCTGAGTCACTCAAGTGTGACACACATTCTCTTTCCATCAGTCCCTGACTAGATATGGGAGGGTTGTCATCTGTCGACTGCATAAGTTCGCATGGGCCATCATCAGCTTCATGGTAAGAAGTATCTGATTCTCCAATAATATGGGCTTTAGATTGCTTAATTTGTTTCACTTCGACAGGAGAACTGCCTTTGGTTTCGGCTTGAGCTGTGGATGGTGGAGTGGCAGAAGCAACAAGCCTCTTTCCGATAAGCTCTAAGGACATTACCTCAGAGCATGATCCACAGCACAACGTGCAGATTTTCTTTGACACAAGTAGAATTATCTGAGGTAGCCTCAGCAGTTCAAAACAATTAGAGCATAATACAAAAGGAGCAGCACCAGCAAAAGGTTGACAAAGATGCTTGTCCTTCTTTTTGGAGATTGTGGCCCGTTTCTGAATAAGTGGCTCTCGAGATCGCACTCTTTGATTGTATTCCTGTGTCCTGACAGGATAGGACCCACGATTCTGCACAAGATAACTACCTCTCCGGCTCTGGGAGCTGACAGAATGAGGGACAACCCTATCTGGCAACAACCTATATTTGTGATAGCAGTGTGTACAAGAGCAGGCAGGCTCATGATCAAATTCACCATGATGATTATAGACCAAAGGATCTACATCGAGTTGTCTACGGATCCTTAATCTCTCTGGGTACTGAGCAGCGGGAACATAAGTTCTCTCAGGTGCAAGTAGCCCACGTAGCTTCAATGGCATCCTTTCCCTTGGTTCCTCAGTGACCTCACATGATCGACCGATCCGATCTCTTAATTCATCAAGCTGCTTCAGAAACTGGATCGGGTTCTGACTCAGGTGGTCAACTCCATCAATCCAAGATTGATCTTGCTTCTTGGAACGGTCATCAGTATAAGATCCATCATGCAAAGCAGACGGCCCTGAGGAACCGCTAGAATGTCGGTAATTTGGTGATGGAGTGGCCTTCATCCGATCTCGTGTCGTTCGGTAGAATGTCGGTACTCTGTCCCTGTCAGGTTTCGTTCCTCGCTCCTCTTTCGATCCTTTGGCCATCTCATCTTCACTGGATGTGGAATCGCTAAATCGAGCTTTCGAAGATCGGCGGTACCTCCCAATTCCATCATGTGGTTCACTCGCTAACGGTCTCAGATCGACCCTATTATAAGATCTCTCTGGCGTAGAATCTATTGCCAAATTATCTCCCTTTGCTGTACGACGAATCAGAAACAACAAGGAACTCAAGGAGAGAAAACAGGAACAAGACTGGATCGACATAAATATCGTATTTTTCTCAACCCAAACCCAATTTGTTCCCGTAAAGAACAGAAGGGAAGGGGCTTTTTACCTCGGACAGTAGAACCACAAGCACCGCAACGGCAGGCAGTGAAATTTCCGAGATCCGGGAGGAGAGCATCGCAGTTGGGACAGCGCAAGAACCGAGCTTTGGCTCGTCCGCCACCGCCCTCCGCCATTCCTGGAACTCCTCAAACCCCTACGGAAAGAAGCAAACAAAACAAGCATCCGCCATCACTGGAGCACCGGAGAACGTACGACGATGAGGAGAGCACCAACAAGAATCATCCTAAGGGAAGGCTACGTCTTTCGTCGTGGATTCCGCCATGAGATCTGTCTTCGCTTTGGCACAAAGTCGTCTCCGTTATCTTGCGGCAAAAGCCGGAGGCAGGGGAAGGAGGAATCGGGATTGATTGACGCACGCGTCGTCCATCGACCTTTTATTTTGATTGGACAAACCGAAAGAGAACGGGCGGGTCCCATGTGTGGGCCACTTCAGAATCCACTGATATGAAGGTATGCGAAAGGAAAAGAAATGAGAAGTAGAAAAGCATTCCCGTTCGGAATCCTTAAAAGGAACGAGGAGACCGACCCAAACGTACCCATGACGACACCGTTGTCAGAGTAACACGTGTTGATGACATAGAACGAGATTAACGGTGGGGTTCATTTGAGTGGACTCTTGTCAGGTGTCGGAAACGAGTGTGGACGCCCACCGTCCGAGGTTGGTGTGACGCTGCTGACATGGCAAATTTGATCCGAACCTAAGATGTCCAATGTGGTCCGATCGAATCAGGTATCGTTGGCTTCAATAAGAGAAACGACCATCCGATATATGTTGTTTAGCCATGACATGTGGTATATGATCACACTGGGAATACAGTACTTGAGATTGTAAGATGTATGATACTGATGAAGGCAACTAAGGAGCATTGCCGGTTATTCTCTTCTCCATATCTTTGCACGATATGTATGTCGTAGTAAGATGTGATAGACTGAGCTGGTCTGTCGGCACCGCCTGCTTGCCTAAATTCCACCTCGTTCTTCTTTGCCGCTGACTCTTTCATTCTCCCCGGAGATCTCTTCCAAGGACTTCCCCTTTGTCTCCGACACCAAGAAGGTGAAGAAGAAGCCCAGCATATTGGTAAACGCCAGCACGATAAGCGCCTTCTTGATCTTGCTCGGCTCCTGGCTCAGAGTGTAGCTTTGCACCACAAAAGCCCCGATCATGGCGCCGGCCTTCCCCGACGCCGCGCTCAGCGCGTGGCAGGTCGATCGCACCCGCGTCGGGAACAGCTCCGCCGGCAGCACGAAGGTGGTGCTGTTCGGCCCGAAGTTGGCGAAGAAGAAGGTCAGCCCGAACAGAACCGCGAACAGCTTGTGGTTATGCTCCTTGAGGTAGTCGTACTTGATGCCCAGAATCAGCATGAACATTGACATCATGAAGAAGCCGATGAGCTGGATCAGGTACCTCCCGAGCTTCTCGATGAATATCACCGTGAACCAGTAGCCGGGGAAGGTCCCCAGCAGCGCCACCACGAACATGGCCCGCGAGATCTCGAACACTTCTCTGAGAGCGTTCACGTTCTTCGCCTTGTTGGTCAAGTGGATCGCCTGGAAGATGTCCTTCTGGGTGAGATTCTGGCTGTAGAACGCGATGTCGAGGAGGAACCAGGTGGTCATGGTACCGACCAGGTGCCTCCCGTGCCTCCCGACGAACTCACGCGAGAACAGATTGTACTCGTTGGCGGACTTGAACTGGGATAACCTCTCTGGCTCCGCTTGGATGTCGATCTCGAGGACCTTCTCCATGTCGTGCGCCGCCTGCTTTGCGTTCCCGGCGATCAGCGCGGTGTAGCGCGCCGTCTCGGGCATCTTCATGCGCCAGTAGAAGGTGACGACCGCTGGGAGAGCTCCGAGCATCAGCACGATCCGCCAGAGGAAGTCGCCGGCATGCTGGGTGGAGAGGTCCGGGTTTTCAGTAAAAGTCGGCGCCGGGTTGTAGTGGAGGAAGATCGCGGAGAGCGTCATAGAGACGAGGCCCGCGAAGATGATCCCGACGCCCTGCATGGCGAAGACGGCGGCGATGAACTGGCCGCGAGTCTTCTTGTTGGCGTACTCCGACATGATGGTGGCGGAGAGAGGGTAGTCGCCGCCGATGCCGAAGCCGAGCCAGAAGCGGAAGAAGCAGAGGCTCCCCATGACTGCCCCCTTCGTTTTTCCGAACGAGAGGCCGGAGCCGATGGCGCAGATGGACATGAGGATGAGGGTGATCCCGTAGACCTTCTTGCGCCCGAGCTTGTCTCCGAGCCAGCCAAAGACGAGCTGACCCATGAGTGTGCCGACGAGGGCTACGCCGATGACGAGATTGTTGACCGGCGTGGGGAGCTTGCCCGGTTCGCCGTCTTTGCCATCGTAGTAGAGACGTCCGAGGAGCTTGGAGACGGTGGATATGCAGAAGAGGTCGTACGCATCGGTGAAGAAGCCCATGCCGGCGATGACGATGGCTGTAACATGATACCACTGCGTGCGCGCTGTGTCGAGCGCTTCGAGCACGGCGAGGTTTGGCGATGACGACATCTCTTCCCACAACTCTGCTGCTGTCGACCCTGTTCCTCCTCAGCTCTGCAACGCTGAGAACACCATGGGGTAGTATTTATAGTTGGTTTGGGACAAAGGGCGACACAAACACATGGAGAGAGAACAAGGGATGACGTTCAAAACTAAGAGACGATGTTAAATGACCGAGGAGAATGGGAACCTGAGGAGCATATTCGGAGCCTTGGACATGCGCGTCCCATCTGTGCTGCGCTCGGAGGTACGTCAGTCTCCAAGTCTCAAACTTTGTTTTGCTTGGAATGCTGAGTTTGGATAAGATGTAATATTGTTGGCTGGATTTTGCTGGAGTTGAACTTGTCCTTTCAGTGTGCCAGGTATCAATAGGTCGAATCTCTCTCTCTCTCTCTCTCTCTCTCATTGTTAGTCTATTGCCTGGGATTGAGACCAGACCTGAAGTATGTAATTGATAAAAAGTATTTCAAACACTTAGGATGAAAAAAAGATGAAGATATAGATGAGATAAAATATGAGATATGTGAATTTAGGTATCATTTTAATGTGAGAATTTAGGTTAGATGTGAAGTATGTTATAAATATTCATTTTTATGTTATAAAATAGGTATTTTTGGACTCATCCAAAATACTATAGATCCAAAGTAATCCTTATTCTTTCTATTATCTTTTTTTTATTTTATAAAATTTTATATGAAGGTATCAAGTATGGTATCACAAACTGGTCGAAGAAGACTAGCAAGAATCCGACCAGTAGATTGAGAAAGATCAAATGAATAAAAATATATACAAAAATATAAGAGCTTTCTACATTCTACAAGGTGAATTCTTTTTTTTTTTTTTAGTTACATTAGCATCAACAAAAGTCTAAAAAATATTAAAAAATATATGTCTAGGTACAAACAATATAAAAATTTAAAACCTCATATTTTGATGTGAATTTAAAATTCATTCGATAAAAGATTCTGAATCTATAATTTTTTTTTCTCAAAAATCTATTCTATTATAAACTAAATGAAATCTTATAGTGAAAATTTAAAAGACCAAAGTAGTTAAAAAAATTATGAAGTTTATCTCCAAAATTTGAAATAATTTCTACTGTTATAGAAGAAACTAGATATACAAGCACATTATCTATTGATGAATTAATAGATAAAAAAGTTAGAATGATATAACTCGTGGATGATTTGACACTCCGAGACAAGGGATAAACTAATCACATGAGAGTCAGAGGCAAAAAAAATCATCAATATTTTTATTACAAAAAAATTAAACATATTGAAATGATTATTGATAGAAAAATAAAAATTAAAATATTCATCTTTGTTCTCATTATAAAAAATATGGTCATCTTGAAAAGGATTGTTGAAATAAAAATCAAACAAATTATCATGAAAAAAAAAAGTAAAAAAATATAAAAATATATATTTTTATGACATCTAATGAAGAACATTCTAGATATGTATAATTTTTAGATAGAGTATATGATAGGGGACAAAAATTTATTTCAAATGCTTGATGATTTGATCAAATGTATATTGCAAATGAGAAATTATAGTAAGATTCAAGTGGAAGAAAAATGAACAATTATTATGAATATTAAACCTGATAAAAAAAATTAATAATGATATGATGCTTATTTTTACTTAAAATAAAATCTCATTAGTATATGATAATTGTTAAGAAAAAGGTATTACACTATTTTTTATGTAAAAAATATTTGATTTATGATAAAAATAAAAAATTAATAGCAACTATAAGGATGACAAAAAAATAAATTATATTTTTATTATTTTTTGGATTTTCCTTACATGCATTCACTATTATTGTTACTGATGGATTGGTATTATGGCATAAAACATAGGTAATCTCAATTATGATAAACTAAAACTATTGAGTCAAATAAAATATGATAGTTAATTTACTTGAATTAAGAACAAAGATCTTACCTATAAATCTTATATTTTTAAAAAATAACATAGAAATTCTTTTAGACTAAGTTGATAATCTAATAACAATCAAAATTTATACATACAAATATTTGTGAGCCTATATACGGACTGTCTAACATAATGAAAGTAAATATTTTTTTATTATTTATATATAATTACAATGATAATATGAATATATTTTTTTAAAAAAAAGTTGAAGTATTCTCTATTTTTACAATTTTTAAAGTACATGTAGAAAAATAAAATAATTATTTTATCAAAACTCAGTCTTCAAGAAACACATTTATAGAGGTGGTGAATTTATTTTCAGTTACAGGTTTACCAATTTATACTCGATTTACTTGAGGGTGATTTTATGAATAATAAAAAAAATAAAATATTTGGGTTAGATGTGTTAGGATTGTTTTATCAAGTGATTATGTGGTGTTTATTTATTTAAAAAACTTATAAATATCTATTTTGATATTATAAATATGTGTTTTTATTCCTTCACTACAAATTAAAAGTATTTTTGGTTTTGTCATTTATCTTTTCTCTTTCCTCGCTCAAGTTCTGCAATAACGCTAATTACCTCAATCCGCTCGCACGCTCGGACATACATCGCACAAGATTTCGTCGACTCTTTGAGACGGTGACACGAGTTGTCGGCATTGACACATGTCGTCATCTCATTATAAGCAATAGATTTCTTGGATGAGAGATCCAATCAGTACAGCTGAAAGATCCTTCGTTCTCCTCAACTTGTGACCTCAAGTCCATCCCTAACAGTAGCCTTAAACTCTGGCCCCCTTCCCTCGTCTCCCACAGCTTCCCTCGGAGCTTAACAATGGCGACAACAGCAGCCGCAGCGGCCGAGCTGGTTTTCATGAGACCCACGAACCCCGTCGGC